TTGAATCTAGAGGCTTTTGCAGATGCCCTTCCACCCAGCTACTGCCTTCCCCTACGACAGCAAGCCCAGCTGGACACAGCTACTGTTCCTTTTGGCACCTCCTACTGCAAGGAGTAGAAATGATAAGCAGGGGCAGAGAGAGGAGGGAAGCTCCCTCTCCTTCCTGCTTTAACTACAACACTGTCCCCTCCCCGCCCCACTTGGCACCAGCAACAGTCTCCCACCCAGGCAGGGAGCTCAGGTGCTGAGTTCAAGTGTTCACTGGCAAACGCTGAATGGCCTTTAAAGATCTTGTTTTTCCTCCCTTTCAAAAGAAAGCCCCAAGGAAAACGGCGCAGCCTACCAGCAAGCCCCCTTGGCGGAGCTCACATCCCTCACCCAAGCATGACAGGCAGCTGTTTTACTGTATTTGCTACCTGTGCTCATCCATCAAACCCATCGATCGGGCAACGGCGGAGTTTTATTAATGATCTTGTCAGTGGCCTGGTGCAAGGTGCAGAGGCTTGTCGGGAATGATAGATCACGGAGCGCACCGGCTGCTATTTATTCTCCAGTGACCTTGTCTCTCCCCATTGTTGCTTGCTTAAGAGTTATGAACGCGAGACATGATAATTTGATATTGATCTATATGGTAAGTGAAAAAATTTACTGCGTCGTTGATGTTTTAACCAAGGGGATGGCACGATAGCCCCAAACAGAGCACTCCTTCCTGGCACCCATGGCTTGGTGATGTGCCCCAATGGCTAAATGGGGGTGGGAGGAGAGGAACTAAGGATGCTTGGCTCCTGACCCCCCCACCTCCCCCATTTTTCACAATAAGCTCTATGATGCCGCTGTGAGCGGCAGGATCTGTTATAGCTTGGCAACAGAACTGCAACAGAAGTCAAAGGGAAACCTGGGATCCCCCCCATTCTGGGTTTTTTTGGGGAAAAAATGTTGCCTGGGAGAGGGATTCCCCCCCCCTACTTTTAATTATTTTTAAAACTGCCTTCTTCTTGCAGACCATATGCTGCAGCCATGGTTCCAAGATTTTCTCTATAAGCAGAAAAGCTGAAAAAGGGGCTGGAAACAACCTGCCATTATCTTTTTCTGCAGAAAGAACCCCAAGAAAATGAATGGTCTCCCCACAGCCCTGGACGATAATAGGGCCAGGGAGGGGTTAGCATTATGGCAAGGAAGGGGCTAACCTTTGGGGGCCTGGGGGCCACATTCACTATTGGCCAACCCTCAAGGGGCTGCGTGGAAGCAGTGGGTGTGGCCAAAAATGCATGTGGCCCCCTCTCCCTCTCCCCCACATAGAGTCGTCCCCCCCACCTGCTCATCAAATGGTCACTCCAATATCTGGCAAAGCAGTGATTATTTGCATTCAGGAGGCTGGGCAGGGCAGATAGGTTTAAACCTGCACCATCCAACACAGCACTCCAATCTGTTTATTTATTGCAGCTCTGCCAAAATCCTTAGGGTCTTGGGGTAAAGGGAAGCAGGTGGAAACGACAGGCATCTGGTTGGCCACTCTAAGAACAGGACTCTGGACTAGATGGGCCATTGGCCTGATCCGGCAGGCTCTTCTTATGTCCTAAAATTTTTTCTCGGAGGCTGGATCAGGTCCCTGGACCAGGAGCTAGCCAACCCTGCTCTATGGATCCTAGAAGAATGCAGCTACACCCTGATCTAGGTATACATGAATGACTGCTGGTGTTGGAGTTGTAAAAGGAATCAGGAGAAATCTATGGAGCAAAATGCATTTCAATAGCCAGTGTGGTGCAGTGGTTAGAGTGTCAGGCAGTGACCTGGAAGACCATTGTTTCAATCCCTACTCGGCCATGGCAATCCCTGCCTCTCAGCCTGTCCTACTTCACAGGGTTGTTGTGACAATTACACAAGGAGGGGAAGAACCATATACACCACCTTGAGCCTCTTGGAGGACTGAAAATTTCGAATATTTTTTTTTAAGAAGAGCCTCTTGGAGGAAAAGCTGAGATACAAATGTAATAAATAAAATAAATATTGGCCGTGGTGGATTGACAGGTGAGGGTTATTGCTCTCATGTCCTGCTTGTGGTTTCTCTTGGAGGCAAAGGCTTGTCCGCTGCGCTCGACTACCTGAAACCTTCAGACTGAACCACAACGGCTGTTCTAAAATTATTTTGCTCTTAAGCGTTTCTGGGTTATCTCAAACCAGAGTCATCCTTTGAAATCTTCCGAGTATGCAGACCGAAGTGGGTTGTGGATTGGCCTTATCTTGGCATGTGCATTAGCTATACTTGAGCAACACTGGCAGGAAGCTCATGTGTGCAGAGCCAGCCACAGGGATGAACACTAGCATGAGCAGGTCTAGGCCTGTGGGGTCTCCAGGTTGAATTGACTCACCCTAGGAAGCCTGTTGGGAGCAGCGCAGAGAGAGGGGGGGGGGGAGAGAGGCGTGCCTGGGTTATTAAGAGAGGCTGACATTTATTTGCTCTTCCCTAATGACTACTCCCTCCCCTCTACCACCCTGCATCTGTAGCCAAACAGAAGGAGAGTGTGGCAGAGCGTGCAAAAGGACAGATCGCAATTTACGGTGGGTTATTAGCCGTCCTCGCACTGAGATTACACTCCCCTAATGAAGGACTCTTTTACGGCACCATAAAAATAGAGGGGAAAACCCCTCAAAAAGGAGAGAGAGAGAGAGAGAGAGAGAGAGAGAGAGAGAGAGAGAGAGGGAGAGGGAGAGGGAGAGGGAGAGAAAGAAAGAAAGAAAAGCAGGGAGTGTTGGCTGGAAAGAGTGGAATGAAGAGGGGCAGGAGGGGACCAGGGTGTGGAGCAAAGGGTGTTTATATGCATCTGTGATACCTGCTGAATGAGATATTATTTCATCTGAGATGGAGCCACATGCAGGTTGAAGGTGAAGCGGATCGAGGACTGATGACAGAAAAGGAGACCAAATGGAAGAGTCTCCCCGTGGGGAACATCTTCAGCTGTAGAAGAATGGGAACTGAGTAAAAGCATTTTAAAGCACATTGATCAGAGAAGCAGAATCCCCAATGATGCTCATTCCACAGCACACACGAGAGCTACGATGATGCTTCTCTCGCCTCTTGTGGAAGCACATGATAGGCAGAGCCACTTAGGTGCTGGCCACAATTCCGCATGTGCCTAGAAAGAATGGGTCTTGTTCCACTCCTTTCCAAGGGAAAACCGCTCTTTAGTAATAGATTGGGACAAATGGCAATCGGGGGAAACCCAAATTTCTGTCTGCTGAGTGCTAAAGAGCTGTTTTCCCTGGAGGAAGAAGTGGGAAAAGAGGAAGTGTGGATGAGCCCTCAGAGAATGCACTTTTGCACTTTGCCCTTTGATTGGCAAAGTGCTGCTGCCGCCCAGAGTGTCTAATTATAAGAATTAGTGCAAATTGAGATGTTGCTTTAAAACAGAAAAGCAAACAAAAGTGGATAGAAAAAAGTTCAGAATTAAGTAGAAACTGCCAATTTCATACAGGGATTCTCAGTATGTTGAATGTTGCAACACCCAAAAGACAACGGAATTTGTAACACGAAAGGTTGCAGCTTGCAGCTTTGTCACTTTGCAACATTCAGTTATGGAAAGCATATGAGCATCAGTACAATTGGCTCTCATAACATTCCAGCTTCCTGACCAAGTAAGGTTCACAGTCTGAAGTAGGCTGCAATCCTGCACATATTTGCTAAGGTCTAGAAATTGGGGGGGGGGGGAGGGAATTGATCTGGTACCTCATTTGCAGTTTTCAATCCAATACACAAACTGAATTGCAGCTATAGTTCTAAATTCCCACTTCTCTGAATTCTGCAATGCGGTTCTCCATCAAAAAAGAAAATATGTAAATAAACACAAACATAAAAAGCATATATTTGGTGGGAAATGTGCAAGAAAAAATTGTTTATAGAAGAAAGCAAAGCACAAAAATGCATATTAGGAAAAACTGTTTTTAAAAAAGTGTGTATATTTGGCAAAAATGTGTATATTAGAAATGTGCATGAGCATGTTCATGCAGACTTTTAAAATAAAAAACTCAAAATGATGCAGAAATAGGGCAAAGTGAACTTAAGACGGAAAAAACGAAAAACTGAGAGAAACTGAAATTGTTGTCAGATGTGTCCACCCCTAATATATTTACTTCTGAGTAAATATGGACAGGGTTGCATTGTTGATCTCTTCCGATTGTGCCATACAAGCCAACACTTTCTTGTAGCTGTTGTAGCACAAACGTTGCCTGCATTATACATTGGGGGCTTGGATGGATGCTCAGCCCCACAGGTTTGATTGCTGAAAAGGAGGGAACGGGTTGATGGAATATACCGTCTTCTGTACTTCAGGATGTGTGTATGCACGCATGTAGGAGGGAGGGAGGGAGGGGTAGCAACAATTTTCATTGTCATTCCCTTTTTAGGAACCCAAAAGTATACAAAGAACACCTAAAGATGGGGGTGGATGATGACAGGAGCCACTGGTTTGTTTTTTAGAGTCTAAGCAAGTCCATGTTTGCAGAACAGACAATCAGTTTGCTTGTACATGTAATTGTTCAACTGATGAAACTAGGAGCCTTCCGTGGGTAGGGGTGTGTGCTCTTGGGTGGGGCCCAGAGCTTCTGTTCAAAACGCCTTGAGTTCCCACAGGCCCTGGAAGGTAAAGCCAGCCATCCTGATTGACATGGAGCTCAAAATTACACCACTGCCAAACCCTGAACTCGCTGCAGGAAGAACATATTGCCAGCCAAAAACAAAAAAACAAAAAACAGACCGAGCAAGAAGAAAGCCAGATTTTATGAGACGTTGATTCACAAGTTAAGAAAATAAATCACAGATCCTGCCCAACCTTACTCATCATGAGATAAGGACTTGTCAAAATGCAAGGGTGGCACCGGGGAGTTGGAAAACAGAGCACTCAGTCACACTTGTGGAAAAACCTCACCACGCTGCCCCACATTTCCATGCCAGGTGTTGTCACGAAGCCTCCCCGTCCTGTGTAACTCCCGCCAGGCGCCCATCGCTAGGCGGAGTAGAAATGCTTGAGAAGCTGCTTCTTGTCCACTTTGCCCATTTGGTTTCGCGGGATCTCCTCCACCACCAGCAGTTCAGAGGGGATGGTGTAAGGTGCCATGAACTCTCTGGGACACACAAGCACATGTTCTGGTTAAGAGACTGCTGCTGCAAATGTCCATCTCCTCTCTACTCCTGCCCAAGCGCTGAATCATGGCTTCCCTTGTGATACAGAGCTGGACAAGGACACTGGAAGCTGCCTAATAACAAGTCAGACCCTTGATCCATCTAGCTCAGTGTTATTTACTCTGACTGACAATGGTTACCCAGTGTTTCAGTGGTGAGTCTCTCCCAATGCTACCTGGAGATGCTGAGGACTGAGCATGCAAAGCAGTACCTTTCCCACTGAGCTACATCCCTTCTCCAAAATACTCTCAAAGAAAGGACTGTGCACCCCTCAGTATAAGAGTCAACAGATATAAACTGTGCAAACATTTGAGCCTGGAAATAATCCAGTGAAGGCTTCCAGTCATTAGAGCAGGGAGACACTGCCCTGTTCAACTTGGGCCAGGTGAAGTGCTCATGTTTCTACTTTCCCTCCCTACAAATATTCTGTATATACTAGCATACAGTTCACTGTGTCATAAGGCCTATGGCCCCCTGACCAGAACAAGCAAGGACAGAAGTGTTCAATCTGGAATCAAAACAAGAAGTGGGGCAGATGAAAAGAATGCACTTCTTTGCACAGTGCAAATTCCACTTCTGTCCTAATGGCCACTGGCATAGATGGGCAAAGCAAAGAGTCACCTATAATAAACATGTGCGCCTTCAAGGTGCTGCAAGACATTTTATAGCTTTAAAAGGGGATTAGAGAAGGTCAAGGAGGAGGAGGAAATCTTTCAGCAGCTGTCAGCCATCATGGCAAATAAGAATTTCCATGTTCAGAGGCAGAGTATCATTGTTGTGGAAGATCAAGGGCTGCTGTTTCTCTCATGCTTGTGAGCTTCCAGGGGAGGACATCTAGCTGACCACTGTAGGATGCAGAATGCTGGACTAGAAGGCGATTTGGCCTCATCCAGCACAGCCCATGTTAGTCTCCTATGCAATCGGTTGTGCCTATTCTGATGGAACGCTGTCCTTCAATCAGGGGGTTTAGATCAAGGGTGGCACAGGAGGAGGAGCTGCTTGGAGGGCGTTCTGTACCCACATATTGCTCTGGGTCACCCAGCCATGCACATGGATACTTAAGGCTGAGTAACAACATACCACAGTGTGTGTGTGTGTGTGTGTGTGTGTGTGAGAGAGAGAGAGAGAGAGAGGAAGAGAGAGAGAGAGATGGAAAGTGCCCAGACAAAGCACCTCCAAGAAGCAGAATGGATCACTTTTAATGGGTTCTCATCAATCCTTGCAATTAGATATGGCAGGAAGAGCAAATGACAAATTGTCAACATAAGCGCTAAGGAGCCTTGCAAACTCCCGGCCCTCCACACAAGCCCCCCTCCCATGTGCAGCCCCCTCCCCCCCATTCCTCTTGATCACAGGCATGCACGATGGGGAGGATGCCAAACAAGTTCAGCTTCTTATTAAAGCCCCGCCAGGGGACTGTCTGAGCACGAAAGAAAGTCACCTTGCCCACTGCAAAGTGTGCGTGATCATATGCATGTGGGATGCTTTCCCTCACTAGACCGCTGGCTGCAGGGCATGCCCTGCTCTGACGGGTACCTCGTGGGCACAGAGTTTGGAGTGACATGCCAAGCCCGCCCAGCATGTCAGGGCTCTTCTCCTCCCTCAGTGCCTCCACTGCTTTCAAATTATCGATGCCTTTCTGCCATGTGGAGGAGGCCTCAAACTCAGGACCGGCTTGTCACCGGGAGCAGATTGGAGGCGAAAGCCACAAAATGAATCACTCTGAAGAGGGACATGTGTCTCCTGCCAGAGAATGTGGCGGGGGGCGGGGGGACGAAGGGAGGCAAGTGGCGTGGAAGATAAAGAGGAGAGACAGGATGAGCGGCAGTGAAAGAAGCCGGCAGGGGTGTGAGACCCGGGAGGCGGCGTGCGGAGAGAGCGAGAGCGGGCCAAGGACCCTTCCCGAGGTGCTCAAACGCTGTTGCTCCAGAGAGACGCATCGCATTCAGGCTGGATTTCTCCTCTCGCAGCCTGCCCTGCAATCTTGGCTGTGAGGAGACAGGCAGGAAACTGAGGCACAAGGGCAAAGCGGGGAGATGTGCAAGGGGATAGCACTTGTTCCCCTGCTGCCACCACCCTAACAGCTCTGACTCGAAAAGTGATGGAAGTGAAGGAAGTTAAAGGCTTGATAACAGCTATGCTGGGCCCTCAGTGCTTGATGCGGCTGGTTTTCAGCTTTCGCGCCCTTACAGCCTTTATGCAACACACCTTATTCTCCCTGTGCAGCCTGCTGATGAAGCTTTTGTAACACTGGTATACCATTCCCCCTTCTGGCCATCACTGGGCTGTTCTTTCTATTGAGGAGCTGGGCCTTTATACACGGATAATCTTTGCCTGGGATGAGGAAGTGGGGCTGTACGTGTTTGGTGGTGATGGGGAACCCACCTCCATAGCACAAGAAGCAGGAAATGACCAATAACCAACAATGCTGAGCTCATATTCAGCTCAACCAGTTTCCAGGGCCACACTTTCAGATGCCACACATAACAGTTCCCAGGAGAACGCTAACGTGGGCATGGTGTAGTGAGCACCCCAGGTTGGTTGCAGTGGAACTATGGGAATGTAGGAACCTGATTTACACTGTCCGTCTGGCTCAGCACTGTCTATGCTGACTGTCGGTGGGTCTCTAGAATTTCAGAGAGAGGTCCTTCTGCATACAAAGCACATGGTCTGCCACTGGGCTACGGTCCTTCCCTAAGGAAGCAGAAGGCTAAACTAGATGGGCTTTTAGTATGACCCTTTAGGGGTCTTTCTATTTTGTTATGTAAAAAAAAATGTATGGGTGCTGTGCAAGTGCACAGCCAGCCTCTCAAGTGTTATGCGAGGAAGCTGGCATGCAGGCAGGGGAGTGAGAGGCCAGGGCTCAAGGCCTCCACACCTCTGGATTTCTTTGTGAGTTTTCTTTGCTGTTTATTCAGAGCAACAGAGGCTAGCAAGAGTATTCCTCACATTTGCTAAATTGCAAACCTCCCACTGTGATTTTTGCAAATCCTGGGGACTGTTTAATTGGGCAGCTGTGCAGCCCTGGATGAAACAAGAATGCCTGTGGTTTGTGAAGAGCACCAGTTTCACATACCCTCTAAAAAAGCATCCAATATGTTTTTGGGAGTGGGGGGTGGAGCAGCCACCTGGGACAAGGGAACCCTTATTCAATTTGTATTAGTTGAACTGATGAAAAATGGTGTGTGTGGGTGTGTGTGTTTGTGTGTGTGTATTCTGTTTCTATCATTTCAGCACACCTTGGAGACTAGCTCTCTAATATAGGCCCAACTTGGTAGCAGGGGAGGGCAAGAAAGCACATAGGAATACCATTGCACACAAAAAATCTAGAGCCATGTTTGTAGCCTCATGAGTCAGAAGGAATTAACTGTGTTGTTCCAGACCCACTGGCCTAGAGGGAAGTAGCAATAGATAGTCCAACAGCAGCCCAGCCTATACTTGAATAACATATACAGACTAAATAGCTAGGATGCAACCAGCAGCTTTATAGAACCAAGTGGACCCCTATTGGCTCCTGGTGTCACCTGACCCCTCCACTAAACACTGATAGCTGCAGTACTACCCTCTGGTCAGTGATGGCATTAAACTGCAAAAGAGGACAACTGTCCCCTCTTGGCTAGATAATCGAAACACAGACTTCTACAACCAGATGCTAGTCTGATGTTCTGGACTACATCTCCCATTAGCTTCAGCCAGCAGAGTCATGGTTATGCCGGCTGGAGCTGATGGGAATTATAGCACAAGATATCCAGAGGTCACCAGGTTGGAGAAGTAGGAAATTCACACTGGAGTAAAGTAGAGAAATGAATGGCATTCTACCAGGATATTTACTTTTTCATTTACCTGCTGAATATATTTTCATTCTTACCGTAGGAAAAATATCTTAAAATGTTGGGAAGTTCGGAAACCAGCTTGTAAATAACCTTAGTTTGTACCCACTGGTTTGGCTACTGTTCATCCTGCATTTATTCATTTTACTTATTTATACCCCACCTTTCTCCCAAGTAAGTATTCAACTGGGATAGACAATGGCCTGCCCTATACCTTCCCATGACACCCCATACCCAGTGGATGCTGCCATGTTACCTTGCCCATTCCTTCAGGTCCGTGAGAGACAGTGCCTGGCCCTCATGCAGCCTGACCACAGCGCTGACCTTCTGACCCCACGTCATGTCCGGGGCACCAATCACAGCCACATCTGGAGAGGGGAAAAGTGTGAAAGAGTCACACAGAGAAAGTGGGAAGAACTCCTACAAGAAATTGACCTGGCTCTGCCTTTACTTTGTCCAAGCTTATTTCTGGTCTTTGTGTTAAACTTGGTGCCTGTTTCAGTTTGGTGGGCAGGCTGCTAGAACTGTTTTAACTTGAGGTGACTTATTTAATTTATTCATTATGCTATTATTTATTTCATAAAATTGATATACTACTTGATAATAAAATATCAAGGAATATTTACAATTCTACTTTAAAACATATTAAAATTACCTAATTTGCAATAGCTGCACTATTTTCTCTCTCTTTCTTTAAACACTCTGCAATTGTTTTATATTTTGCCTTAACTACAGCTTGTTAGCTGCCCTGAGTGCCATTTATGGGAGAATATGTCTCAGGTTCAGGTCCTGATGTCTTCAGGTAGGGCTGGGAAGGACCACCTAAAACCTCAGAGAGCCACTGCCAGATACTGTTTACAATCCTCCAAACTCTCTTTCTCAGTATACAGGGCAGTTTTGTTTGAGATGGTGGGAGAGAGAGAGAGATTGAGGGTGTATGTGCAAGTGAATGAGGGTGGGTGGGTTTACCTGAAATGTGGAATGCCATTGGGGGACCTGTCAGACCTTGCTGCTCTTTGTAAAGCACTAAGTTCATGAACTGAACTATATTAGCAAATCAATAAATAGTTGCAGGGAGGGGCTAGCCTTTACCAGCAATGCTGGGGTGGGCCAGCAGGTGGCGTTCGACTTCCAGGGCACTGATTTTGTAGCCGCCGCTTTTGATGATGTCAACTGAGGTCCGTCCTCTGATCCAGTAGGTGCCCTCCTTATACACAGCAGTGTCACCTGGAAAAAGAAAGGAGCTGGTAAGATGAGGTAGGCGACATTTCTAGGGGCAGAGCAGCAGGGTGGAGATCAACACCTGGAAGCCACTAATAATGAAAGAGGAAGAGGTGTGGCAGCGATGGCAGAGAAGGCAAAGACAGGAGGCAATGGCTAGTGAGGGCAGCTAATAGGATGAAAAAAGGAGGGATAAAAATAAGAACGAATGGATGTTGTGCCTGTAATATAAAAAAAGCATTTTAATACCAATTAAAAACAATGCATGTCTATGACAATGCACATACAATATTTGACTTATTATTTGCTGTACTATAGTTATTTGTTATGACCAATGAGGGAGACCTCGAGTGAAACATATTTGGCTATGGTAAACATTGCTAACTTATTGGTTCCGTTTGTTTTCATTCTTTTATTTTATGACAGATTATGAGCCATACCTAGCAGTTTGTGGACACCTGGCTGCTCTGATTTGGAAACTTTTTTTTAATAGCAGCTGCTGATCCATACCAACTGGATGGCAGCACCATCACCAAGGAAGACATCACTTGCCAACTCTAGGGCCTGAGATGGTCGCATTGGGGAAAAGTGCTCTTTAGGTACTTGGGTCTCAAGCCACAGGACTTTACACACTAGAACTAGCACCTTGCACTGGGTTGGTAGCTCAACAGCAGCCAGTGCAGCAGCTTCAGGACCAGTGTGACGCATGGGACCTCCATGTTCACAGCCAATATGCCACTGAGCACTTTCATGGCTTGCCTGTTGGGCTTCCTGGAAGAATCTGGTTGGCTGCTATGGTAAACAGGATGCTGGACTAGATGGATCTTAGGGGTCTCATCTAGAAATGATTGGTTTGGTTAGATTAGATGAGCTTGACCAAAGGCTTACCATTGTCCTTTCCACCATGAGGGAGTCCACCCTGGCCCTGACCAGGTTTCCTTTTGTGGCTTGTCTCCCAGATCCTTCTGCCCTCTCTCTCTATTACTTACCCTCCCTCACATCCTCCAGGGCTCTGGGAAGCTGCAGCCTCCTAGGCAAGAGAAGCACAAGCCCCTCTCTCTTGCCTGTGCCATCCACTGCCATTCTGAAATGTCAGCTGAACACAAGGCTGTTCTCTGAAACATCAGCTCAACATAGATACGGAGGGTCTGCCCTCTGCGGACTGGTCATAATGGTCCTCTTGCCTCAGCCCACACCTTGCTACAGCTTGTTGGCATTCGAGGTATGAGGTAGCAGAGAGAAATGGGATGAACTCACTAGGGCCAAATCTGCACAGTACATTTCAAGCATCATGTCACCATTTCAAACAGTCATTGTATCCCCCCAAGAATTCCAGGAGGTGTGCTTTGTTACAGGTGCTGTTAGGGGGCCCCTGCCACCCCTTCCCCAGCTACAATTCCCAGAGTGGTTTAACAATCAATCTCTCTTCATAGGGAACTCTGGGAACTGTATCTCTCTTCATAGGGAACTCTTGGAGGGGAACAGGGGTTTCCTTACAATTCTCTGCACCCTCAACAAACCACAGCTCCCAGAATTCTTTGGGGGAAGTCATAGCTGTTTAAGGTAATACAGTGGTACCTCAGGTTAAGTACTTAATTCGTGCCGGAGGTCCGTTCTTAACCTGAAACTGTTCTTAACCTGAAGCACCATTTTAGCTAATGGGGCCTCCCGCTGCCGCTGGAGCACGATTTCTGTTCTCATCCTGAAGCAAAGTTCTTAACCCGAGGTACTATTTCTGGGTTAGTGGTGTCTGCAACCTGAAGCGTCTGTAACCTGAAGCATATGTAACCCGAGGTACCACTGTATCATAATGCTTCAAATGTATGGTGTGGATGTGGTCTAAAACTCTAAATTGCCTTATACTGAGTTGCATCACTGGTTCATTTCACTCAGTATTATTTGACTGGCAGGGGCATTCCAGAGTCTCAGGCAGAATTCCTTCCCTGCCTTCCATTGCTTCCTCTGGAACTAAACTGGCTATCAGGAAAAGCTCCCAGACCACATAGTTGCATTTCTCCCTGCTGGTGCTCCTGTGGCAGCTGACTCAGAGCGCTCACTGCTGGCCTCCTTCACCCTGGGTGGGGGAAGGACCTGCCATGTAATTGATGTGCAGGACAAAAAGGGGTTGGCTTGTGCTCATCTCCCCCTCATTATCTTAAGGGGAAGGAAGCTGTGGATGCAGCAGTGTTTCCAGAGTGGCTGTTTTAAAATTCTTGCAGGTTTTATTAAGAGTGCCTGAGATGGAATTTGCATATGAAGATGCAGAGGTGTCAAGTAGTATAGCTTTGTGAAGGAGAGGTGTAGAGATGGCAAGCGAAATCTTCTTCCAAGGAAGGGTTGGGGAGGTGGGCTAGAGTACTTTCCAACATCTTTCTATGCAAGGCCCTAGACAATTACAACAGAAATAGCATCTAAGCACTTGTAGCAATCTCTATTTTTATGAAGGCCTCCCAGAACAGAAGCTTCAACAGTGAGGTTGTGTAGTGAAGGTACTGGGGGATATTTAGTTCAATCCTCCTATTGAACTGCAGCGTTCAGTTAATTGCTTTGACCTTATTACTGGACTGAGCATAGCTGTGCAGATGCACCCCTGCACCTCTTCATTCTCCCCCAGTGCTGCTACATTTTACAGGCCTCTTGTCATTACACTGGTGACATGCCTCTTTGAACTTTTTACACCTGAAAATTTGTGAGTTGTTTTTCTTTAAAATCAAAACAAGAGAGGGAAAGGGCTGATGGCTTCTTCATGATCATAGTAAAAGGCTCAATAGTGCCTAATGAATCCCCTCTTTTTTTACCTAGTTCCTTGACTAGGTGCACTCCACATACACCTGCTATATTCTGTCAAAAATATTCCTCGATGTACCAAGCTGCAACAAGCTGTGCAACAGAAGAAGTCACAAAGATTCCAGTGCAGGCCTGTGATATCATTGAAAGCATATGTGATCTGCTGTTGCAACTTCCTTCCTTTAGAAACAGCGACACTTTGAAAAGGGCTCCCCTCTCTGCTTCTTTGCACCTTCCACTCTAGGCTCCAAAGTGTTGGGCGGTAGGAGCTTCCCTGGAAGCGAGAATTCCAGGTCCCTCTTCGACTTCTGAGAATGTCTTCCTTTGCTTGACAGACTCTCCCAGGGAATTCCCAGCTGCCAGACTCTTTCAGTAGCACAGAGATCATTCACTTTGAGCAGGTACAGACAGAATGAGGCATCTTCCCTACTGGATTCCTTTGCAGAGGCTGCTACTTGGAGAGCTCCCTTGCTCTCTGAACTAGCATGTTGACAGGATAAGGCTGGGCGTTTCAGCACAGAGACAGCTCCCTTCCCACCCCCACCCCCTTTGGCGAAGGTCTCCTCTGAAACAGTCAGAAGCAGAAGCAGATCTCTGTGCTCCTCTGGTGGCTTTCATCAGAGAGATATTGAAATTATCCTGCAAATGCAACTAATTAGTCTGAGAGGGGAACAGCTGGAGGGGCAGTTCGTGGAGGATGTGATGGGTGGAGAACAGACTCCTCAAGTCTTTCATGGCACCAAGTGAAGGGCATCCAGTGGTGTGCAAGATGCTTTGAACTGGAGAAACATTCTGGTTCTGTTGGCGGGTGGAGGTGGGGGAGGAGAAAGGGTTGTTCCTTTTGTCTTTGCCACCTCAAGCACCTGCCTGGGGGCAATGGTGGCTAGTGCCCCCTGGGACTGGTAGGGCAGAAGACAGGGAAACCAACAGTCAGAGGAACCAAAGAGGCTGCAACAATTAATTCTAGTTTTCTCCTCCTCTTCCTTGTGGAATTCTAAAAAAGGGCAATACTGAGACCGAGGAGGAGGAAGTTGATGGGCACTGCCATCCCCTGGACTGGTTGGTTGGTTGGAAGAAAGAAAGAAGGCAGGCAGGTGGGGCAGGTTGAGGTCAAAGGGGCAGTGACCATTCATCCAAATGGATCAGCCTCCAGTGAAGAGCAAACCATGGACAGCAGGACAGTGCTCCAAAAGGGATCCTTTGCCAGGGGTTATGCCAGCCTCCTGCTGGACTTGACAACAGCCACGGCTGAAAACTGCCCCAGGAGGTGTTAGTGCCACACTCTGAAAATTCCAGTGCAAGGGCAGAGTCTCAGGGCTCACATATAACACAGAGAGAGCAGCAAAGCCCTTGGATAAAAGGCACTCTGTACAAAAGGAGGCTCATGGAGAACAGGTGCGGGAGGGGATGCAGAATGACAAACAATTAGAGGGAAGGAGTAAGAGATTAATGATGGGATGGGAATCGGTTGTCCCCACAACAGCCATGCGAGGTGCAGAGTTTATGGCATGCAAGGGTCTGTGATGTGTGTACGTGTGTGTTACGGACATAAACCTCCCCACACTCCCCAAATGAAAGCTGCATCAATAGTTCCCCATCTGCTCACATATATCACACACTTCATTCCAGTTTATTAGCCGGAATAAATCATAAATATTTCATTATACATCAACGGTGCTCGACTCCGGGAAGGCACAATCCATCACCCCGATGCTCCCCGCGACCCGCCACCGCGCATTAAGCTTTCCAGTCTATTAAACAAGATTGATACAGTGTGCTGGGATGGACTGAGGGAATGTATTTATAGCACACTGGGGGAAAGGGAGGGCACCGAGAGCACGCAAGCAGCCTGGACAAGATGAAGCTCTCCTCAATGGTACGTGGGCCACGCAGCTGCAGGAGAAAGTGCAGCATCCATCAGGGGCCGAGTCTCCCAGGCACTCGTGAATGATTGCATCAGCCTGGTTTTCTCTAGTGCCATGTTAATTAAATTGTGGGGCACACCGGACACCCCCCTGACCTGTCAAGAGGCTGTCACCTCATGCTAAGAGAGAATATGGAAAAGAATTGGGGAGGGAGGGAGAATCCAGTGGACTTTCCCTCTCCCAGTCCAACAGATGTCTGGTCAACTTTTCCATCAAACAAAAGCATGGCAGATTTTGTAACAATAATTTGAAATGAAATTGTTCCTATAGCAGGGAGATTCTTCCTTGCATTTAATCTCCTTAGGGTTCAGAAAGCAACATCTTCTTTATCAGTGGACAATGTGAACAGCCATAAGTAAATATGTAGGGCCCTGCTGGGTCAGCCAAAGACTCCATTACTCTGTTCTCCAAGTGGCCACCCAGATGCCCACGAGAAGCCTGCAAGCAGGACGCAAGATGCAACGCTATATCTCACAGGAGTGTGTTCCATATTTTACTATGTGCTTTGTGAATAAGTCTTCCACCAGCTGCTTCTGATCCACAACCCTCTTGAGTATCCATGAGACGTTTTTGCCTATGACCTCTTTTGCCCTCCTACAGTACCCCAGTTGAACTGTAACTCGAAATAAGACCCAGCAAGCCAAAAATGAAACCAATGTTCACTGTGTCAAAAGCAGGGGACCATGTGATGTTGCATCTCCTGTTCGTGTGCATCCAAGTCCCGAGTTAAAATCCAAAATAAGTGAAGAGGAAGAGGGAAGAGAAAAACTGACAGATCTCTGCAGGTGACGACTATGCCTCAGAATAAGAAATTATATCACTCATCAATTTGCAAAGCTCCAGACCTCTGCAGGTGACACAATGCCTCAGACTAAGAAATTATACACCACTCATAAATTCACCAAGATCCATTTTAATACTAATCAGACTTCTTTGCTGTCCCCTGACTATCTCTGGGGCAGATTTTCACTCCCCTGGTGGTTCAAATCTTCCTTCTAATTGCTTAATCTACATTTCCTTTAAGATTAAATAACTTACTCCCACTCCTGTTCACAGTTCACCTCTACCCCTAATATGCCTAACTATGGATCCCCATCATAATTCCTGGCTCTGGGTGGATGACACAGTTTATATTTCATTTATGCAGGGCCAAATGTTTGCTGTAGAAGACAAAGAACCAGTATGGTATCTGCTTGGAGGGCTTGCAACCTATATTGCTGGACATGGCAGGAAAGAGAGAAGTGAGTTGGCAGGGAAGGAGATAAAAAAAAACATTAAGGAAAGGCTTAGCTAGGCAAGCAAGTCTTCAGGGAGAGGGATGTAACTGAACTGGGAGTGCAGGAAAAACGAGAGATGCAGAATCCAGTTTCTTAAGAGTTTGAACTTCTTCTTCTTCTTCTTCTTCTTCTTCTTCTTCTTTGCAACCAATATCCTAGTCCTTCTTTAATAAAATTAACTCTGAGATTACTGTATGGAGGCAGAAAGATTCCTACATGCCCCAAGGAATGCAGCTCATTTTCAGGAACACCACTCTGAGAAAACAGCCAGTGTTACTAACTGGGGCTCTGATTCCTTCCTCCTTGAGGAGAAAAAGAGAAACTCTCAGGAGAGGATTTGACTTTCCAAATAATTCCAGATACCCCTATTCTCCTCTGAACTCTCGTCACCAGGAAGGACCATGAGGCCAGCCCCATTTTGGCCTGCATTCTATCCTCAGATTCCTGCTCCAAATTCACTACCACGCCACAGTCAAAGACTCCCAGAGCAAACAAGGTCCCTTTAAAAGTGAAAGCCTCATTCATCGTGGCAATAGAGCCAACACCCTGAAAGAAGCCAAAACCCTACTCAAGGCTCAGTCAGAGGAGACTAGTTGCTGGAGCAACATTCAAATATAGCTTGACTAGCTTCTAGTCCAAACTCCACTTGGAACTCTCCATGGTGCTGACTGTCTCCCTGCTCTGCATATCTTAGACAAAGGGGTTCCCAGCTGTGGTCTGCCGAGGTGTCCATGAGGGTAGTCTGTATACACAACAAATAAAAACCCCACAGCATCTAGCAATATAATGACTACAATAGGCATGAAAATCCACACAGATCCTCAGCAATTTTCAAGTGGTCCATTGTTGGGGGGTGTGGTGGGAAACCCTGTCTTAAACCTGACTTTCCAGTTTGTCTGAACACATATGTAAGAATCTGACTCCTGTCTGCTAATCAGCCTTGCTGGACTTTGACCCTGGCCTGACCAGACTCTGATCACCAGACTGTGGGTGGATTTGTCTCCTAGCTGCATCCCACCTGAGCAGCAGGCACTGCTGCCTGAAACAAACACACTGTAAGGAAAGTTTGGCTTGAGGTGGCTGCTAGAGATTCCCTCTGCATCTCTTCCTATAGACTCTTGGTGTCTTCTGGATTCCTACTGCTGCAACGATTAATAAAGCATCAAAGGCTTCTGTGGGGAAAGGAGACAGCACAAAAGGACAGTCCAAACCTTCCTCAAAACCTTGCCATCTGCTTATTATCTAGCAATACTTATAAAGAACTTGATTCTCCATTGTAGTTGTCCATCTTCTCCTAGTATCTAGGTTTCACCCTGCTGAGACTCATTTGTGGCCTAGGAGGCAGAGAAGACACAGCCAATCACAGTAACAACAGCTTCCCCCAGGTTTTAGGCTAGAGGAACCAGGTAGGATTATCAGCTAAGAGTGGGCATATTTTTTCCCTTTCCTTGCGGTGTGGGTATGGGGGGTGCATGTCACCTTTCTATAGGCTATGAGATACTGAATACCAATCACAATTGGCAGGTGAGACAGTAAGGCCTGTAGGTTTATTATGTATTTATTTTAAAAAATAAACATAATAAAAATCTCAAGGCCAAAGATGGGGAACCTGCAGCCTCTCAGATGTTTTTGGATAGAAAAAAGAGACATCTTTGACATATGTCCTGGACACAGTTTTTCATTTATGAGCTCTATCTAATCAAAAAAGCTGTGACTGTATTTTAAACCCAAAGGCTGGTGTCCACCTCTTCTATGCCAACTGCATATATTTATGAGTGCCCTGTTTTTCCTTCCATTTCTCACACTCTCCATGAGGAGAAGCTGTGCTCTGCTGCCCTTCCTGGATGTCATCACTCCGTGGCCAGGAGAGAAGGAGTTAACCAGGGAAGCGGATCTCAGAAGCTCTCGCAATGGAGGGCCCTGGAGCACGCAGCATCCTGCCTGCCTGCAATGGAATTCTTGTCATGCTCCGAACTCCGTGAGTTTGTTTGTATTCTGTGCACAGCAGCACAGAGCCTGCTGTCGGAGTCATGCTGCGAGAAAGGGCAAAGCCCTGCCGAGATGAAAGAATGCGAGGCGCTGGTAGAGCCTCCCCTGGCATTTACACCTTTAAAAAAGAACAACAGAAAGACAGAAAAGGAAACCCACTCAAGGGCTTTTTTTTTTTTTTGCAGAGAACTCTGCTAATAAGCTCTTCCTCAACAAGAGGCAGGATGGAGGCAAGCCAACAGTTCTGGGAGAGGCTGCAGAGGAGCTCTCTCTCACACACCTGCTTCAGGTACCTAGGAGGCAGGAGCCTCGGCAAAGGTAGCCTTCCATTGACGAATGCCAAGCCGCTCATTCCTACATCTCCATTTGGCTACTAACCACTAATAGTGCTGTTGAGGGACCTGAATGGCAAGCTCCCTGCGCTCCCTGGGTTTCACCCTGCTGAGACTCATTTGTGGCAGGTAATTGAGGAAGTGGGCAAGGCAAGAAGTGCCTGCCTTGAAGCACAGGTGGCTTTTTATAATGTGCCAAAGCCTTGACAGCATCTTAAAAAGCAGAGACATCACCTTGCCAACAAAGGTCCGTATAGTTAAAGCCATCGTTTTCCCAGAAGTGATGTATGGAAGTGAGAGCTGGACCATAAAGAAGGCTGATCGCTGAAGAATTGATGCTTATGGATTATGGTGCTGGAGGAGACTCTTGAGAGTCCCATGGACTGCAAGAAGATCAAACCTCTCCATTCTTAAGGAAATTAGCCCTGAGTGCACCGGAAGGACAGATCCTGAAGCTGAGACTCCAATACTTTGGCCACCTCATGAGAACAGAAGACTCCCTGGAAAAGACCCTGATGCGGGCACAAGGAGAAGGAGACGACACAGGACGAGATGGTTGGACAGTGTTCTCGAAGCTACGAACATGAGTTTGACCAAACTGCGGGAGGCAGTGGAAGACACTCGAGTGCCTGGAGTGATCCGGTCCATGGGGTCACGAAGAGTCGGACACGACTAAACGACTAAAAAACAACAACAAGAGCCTTGATTCCTTGTTGTGCAGATCGTACTGGCCCTGCTGTTACCTCTCCCTGAAGGCAGAAAGGACAGATCAGTCACTGGAATGTGCAGAAATCTCTGGTGTGTGTGTAGATTGTAGGCTTTAAAATTAGATCAGGTGCAAATCTGGTATCCTAAAAGGATGGGCCTCCAAAGGGCTATACCTGCACTGGGTGTTTAATGCACCCCCATTGTTCAGCCCGGACACTGAGGTCCTCCTCTGAGGGTCTTCTGTGGGTTCCCTCACTGTGAGAAGTGAAGTTACAGGGAACCAGGCAGAGGGCCTTCTCAGTAGTGGCACCCTCCCTGTGGAACACCCTCCCTACATATAAGCAACTATCTGACTTTTATAAGACATCTGAAGGCAGCCCTGTTTAGGGAAGTTTTTAATGTTTACGGTGTTTTTACTATTCTGCTGGGAACCGCCAAGAGCGGTTGAGGAAACCCAGCCAGATGGGTGGGGTATAAATAGTAAAATTATTATTTTTATTCTTAAGCGAGAGCTGACTGAACTGCCAACTACCCAACCCTCCTAGGAATGCCACATGGTGATTTGTCTCTTAGCTGTAGGGCAAAATATTTTACAATCCATCTCTCCACCCCCACCCCCCATTAAGCCATATCCATCCATAGAGGCACATAGCCCTCTCTTCAGACTAGCTGTTGCTCCCCAGCAGCATACTGCCTCTAAACATGGTTCCACATGGCAAACTCATTCTCTGAAAGAAGCCTTATGCAGTCAAGATAGCACCATACAAGCAAAAAAGATTTACAGAAGTACATTTTTTTGGGCGGTGGGGGTCTCTAAGGAGAGGTGGGTAGGAGACGCAAAACAGCCCAGGCAGGCCTGAACATACACAGGGGCCATGGAATGCTGGCTTGACTTTTAGAACTGAAGGAAAGGAAGACTGAAAACAAGCAAAGAGGTGGAAGGGAATGGAATATTCTGAAAGAAGATATGGCTGGCTGGCTAGCATGCTGAAAAGGAGTACTTTGCACTGCAACATTTTGTTGCATGTCCCCCTTATGATGACTAACAGCCACCAAGAGATCCATCCTCTATTAATTTGTTTAATTCCCTTAGAGCCACCCAAGCCAGTGGACAAGACCACATTTTGTGGCAGTGAGTTCCATAAGTTAATTATGCAATGTACTCTGGGATGCAGATAATTTTGGGCGGCCCTGAAGCTCCAGCCACCTGATTTCATTGTGTGACCCTGAGTTCTTGTATTATGAAATAAAAATGTTCCTCCCTGTCAACTTCCGTCAAGGTGCTGTGGAGAGTTTCTAGAGAAAAAAACAGGTCACCATAAATAGGAAACTCCCTTCCTTCCTTCCTTCCTTCTTTCCTTCCTTCCCTTTTTCTACTTTCTCTCACATTAGCATTTAAGTATTTATAGGCATCCCTGCAGATGGTGAAAAGGAAAAAAGAGAGTGCCATGCCACTCAGCAGCTTGAGAGGCTGAAGCTTGGCAAAAAGTAATTGCAATAACCAAGATGCTGGAGTTAAAACCCCTTTGCTCCGCTCCTGCCCTTTGCAGAACAGCTCCGGGATCAATTACACGTCTAGCTAAAGCAAGCAATAACTCTCTCCTCGCTACGCCCATGCAGTGACCTTCCCGTTGTCTCCCGTGAATGAGCAGGATTGTTAAATAATCCACCAAGGTAGCAGCAGTGGCAGTGGTGCAGAGGATTCCCTGCAAAAGGTGTCCAAGTAGCCCTTTTATTTAAAAATAGAGAAGCTTCCTTCACCAACCACTGTAAGCAAAGCGCTGCAGCCACCCTCCCCCCCCCCCATTTCTGCTTCTATCACAATGCCATTAGTTCTGAGTAAATATGTTCTCAATTGTCTTGAGTGAAGCCCACAGGGAGGCTTCTGTTGAAAGCAAAGAGCCTGGGGCTATCACTCCCAATGATGTTATCTGCCCAGGATTACAGAGTGGGAAGGAATTGGAAGCCCTTAGAAGTCAGAGGCTTCTTCTTCTTCTTCTTTCACATGTCCTTATCAGCTGGCTGGGCAAAACACCAGAGTTAAATAAAAGGCTAACTGCTTACAAGGCATTTGGCCTTGAACTGGGGAGGTTGCAAACAAAGCCACTGCTTCCAGACACTGGGGTGACAGAAGGCAGCGTGGGGAGGAGGGGGAGAGGGGATGAAAGCTTTAAAAACTGAGAAAACAAAGCCCTGGATACTGTGATATTATTTCTTATCAGATTCCACCCCCACCTCCATTTTTGGGATGCTGTTTTTCCTTACATGCAAGGAAGAGGAGGATCATAGGATGTTGCCTGCTACAGAGTCAGCTCAATATTCTTTACAGTGCTTTCCAAGAGTTTCAGACTAGGGACATTCCCACCTCTACCTCTGAGCCACAGTGGGCCCTTGCCAACCAACCTGCCAAGCCTTGAAGATGTGAGTGTGCTACATGAAATAACAGAAAATGAAAAAAGAAAGAAAACCTTTATCAGATGTATGAATGGAACTCAACGTGTACGGCTGTGTCATGACTCCAGAATACTATGGATTCAGAGGAAGTTTCTGCATGGAAGAGTGAAACACCTTCAGAGCCAGCCCCTGAACTATCACCTTCTACTACCCTAGAAATGCTGGCACAAAAGCAGCCCATTGCACCAGTGTCTTTCTGGCTTGAGGAGATTCCATTGCCTTTCTCTGACTCCATTGCCTTTCTCTGGCTGGAGTCAACAGGCATTAAAGCAGGCTAGGTCCCTTTAACTCAAGAGACTCCTCTCACCAAAGGCACAGCTGGAGATGGAGCTGTGTTTAATGTTTCTTTTGGGGTTGCCTGTTACTGAAGCAAAATTTGAGTCTTGCTTCTATATGTCACCTACCTAGTCCTAAACTCTCAGTGGAGCTGTCCAAAGTGCTATCTGCATCTTGTTGATTTCCTTCTAATGTGGAGAACCTTTGGCCCTTCAAAAGTACAACTCCCATTAGTTCCAGCAAGAATGGCCAATGGCAAAGGGATGATGGGAGTTGTAGTTCTCAAATGCCAAAGGTCCCCCACACCAAATATATGTGAACATACCTGGCTTCTATTACTACAACTTGGGAAAAGTAAACTTGTCTTCTTTGACCCTGCCTTGCTGAAGCCAGAACTTTGCACTGCTTTGTCCTGCCTGACCCTGCCATGAACTCCTGCTTGGGTCAGAACCCCCATGCTGCTGTGGCCATTGCTTGGAAAAGAACAGCTGAGGTTATGGCATAGCTGGTTATAACCTAAATTGGAGAGAGAAGACCATATATTCTGATAGCTGGCTTTTGAAAACGTAAATATAATGCACAATCTAAACATAAATTTGTGCTTGCTAGTGCATCAAAGCTTGAACAGTAAATGAGGGACAATTACATTTTCTTTGTGCAGTAACTACCCATACTATCCTGAGAGACTGGATAATATTATTCAATGAATTCCAATTTTGCAGCTGCTCATTTCAATGGTCTCAGGGTTTCTTTTGATTGAAGTACAGCAGCTATAAGGCCAAATACAGATTTGCCCAGGGAATGGCCATCTTTAATGTCCTATTTAGGAATGCAGGGAGCTGCCTTATATTCAGTTAGACCATTGATTCATCTCAGTGCATACTGTATACACTGACTGGCAGCAGCTCTCCAGGGTCTCAGGCAGGAGACATTCCTAGCCCTACTCAGAAATGCCAGGGATGGAACCCAGACTGGAGGCCTCTTATGTATTTTTGTATATATTTGGGCATTTGGAAATGGCTTCCAAGGCAGTGATGTCCTTCCTGTGGAACTGAGGAAGCCCTGGTGGCCCAGTAATGGTATTCCTCATTTGCTTCAATCATATTCCCTTGTGAGAAATCTACTGGGGACTGTGTGCCAGTGATAGACAGGGGCAGAGCCAGTGGTGGGCAAGCCCTGCCCCCGTTCCTGTCCCTCCCCCACCACCAACAGGAAATTAAGTTGAGGTCTGCACGTGACCCCTAAGCCAGATGTTCCCATCCCTGGGCAAAGCTAGAGTACAGTTCCTTGCTGCTGGAGCTAATTAAGTTAGGGGACCATCCATAGGCAAGGATATGTCAAAAGAGACATAATCCTAGAGGTCAAGGCTAAGCAGATCTTCCCAGTCCATCTGAGTTAATCACATCATCCCACCAGGCCACTCTCTGGATCTCAACCTCTGGCTACTAGAAAGCTCTCCCTCTTCCCAGCCTTGGGCGTGTGTATTTCATGCAGCGGGCTTACCCTGCTGATAAGTCATATGCAACATTTGCAGGAGCTCATAATTAAGCAATAATTTAAAACAAAAAAATAGTATTAATCGAATTTATGACTGGGAGAGACAATGTAAACAAACATGGGGAAAATATTGCATGCTAGGATTTTAATTAGACATGTTCCTATTTATAGCTTGTGCCGAACAGGCGCAAGTGATTTCTATCTCAGGTGTGAACGCCCATGAATGGAAACAAATGCCCACCCCGGAGTGGGGAACACCTGCTTCTCTCTGGGGATTGGAAGGAGCCAGAAAAAGCCACTGCCAACTCAGTGTAGTATTGCGGCGTGCCATCTGCTTAACCTTCTCTGTGCTAGCTGGCATTGAAGGGAACAGAACAAGACCAGCCAAGCTCAAGCAAAGGGGTGTTTTTGTTTTGTTTTTTTGCTCTTCTATCCTCTTAGGGTTGAAGGGCAAAAGGACTCACAGGGGAATGAACAGAACCTTCAGGGCTAACCACAGAACAGATTGAAATTCTGTGCCAATATGACATCTATTCTACACCTGAATGGATTCTGCAAATCAGGCATATCTGCAAATCTTGCATAATTTATCCTTCTTCTATGAGCCATTGGGGGAGGGCCAGGAGTTTGGCAGAGCACTGGCATTCTGCCCTTGGACTGCCAGAAGTCCTGGTCGGTTGCCTTCAAGGGTCTAAACATTTTTAAACTTGACCTGCCACAAGGAAATCCATCAATGACTGAAGTGGATACTGCCAAGTAGTTCCACAGGTGCAGATAATTATGTGGACTCTACCAGATTTACTTTCTTTAGGTGAAGGGGGAATTATCTGCTGTGAAAATATATTCTGAGGCTCATGAGGAATACAGTGACAGCTGTTTGCTTTAGTAGTTCCTGAACTGCAAAGTGTTAAGAAATGTTAGATTTAAAAATAAATATCATTGCACATTAGTGCCATGTTCATGATTTGAAAATCCCCCACTGCCTCCTTTTTGGTATTCTGTCAATTGTGCTCACAGTCCACCAGCAGCGGGCAGCATCCAAATTTGGGGAAATGTGAAAAGCAACAGACAGAACCTGCATCCTACCTAAACAATGGAATCATCCACACTGCAATCCACACTCCAAAATGTGTCTGATTTACAGCTGCGATCCCTAAAGGCAATGATATTCAAGGTGCCCTGCAAAATGTCTGAGACTGTTGGGTAGAAAAGCAGAAAACTGCAGAAATAGCAGGAAAAAAATTATCGCATCCTCTGGGTGCCTTCGCTACTTAGAAACAACAATTAAGATTATCAGAATGATGAAATCAAGCAGTCTGTTCTGTGTGGTGCACAATGCATTTGCAGAAACTTGCCAGGCAGCCCCACTATTAGGAAGAGAGGTAACTGCTGCAGGCTACAGAAGCTGGGCAGTGGGACTGTATCCCCCTGACTGGAAGACAGATCACTGTGTGTTATACAACCTCTCCTGGGCTCCATAAACTAGCTTGCTACCCTCAGGTATCATGGACAATGTTGTCCCATCATCTGTGTTCAGGCAAGATTCAACCACTAGTCCGGTCAACTCCCCTGTGTGTGCATGCACCATCTTATCCTTTGCCTCAGGCTGCAAGATGTCTTGGGCCAGCCCTGGAAGCTTAGGGTATGCGAATATTTATTTTGGACCTATAAGAAATGCATTTGAGAGGTAGAGACTGGGACTTCCGTAAAAGGAACTGTAATATAAACTCTGAATACCAAAATACAGGATTTGGTTACATGCAAAAGAGCAACATTGATCGCATTTATGTTTTCTGCACAGCTCAAAAGCAGGGGAGCTTAATAGAAATGAGTCATCGGTTTAAAGCCCGCATCAAACAAGTTAAATAACTCTTACTTTCTTAACGACATATTAATCAAACTGCATTGATTCTTGAATCAGATTCCGTTACCAGCCAAGGCCTCTATCTTCCTGGCCCTGATGCAGGCATTAAGGGAGTTTTATTCTGACAGATACAATATAGCAATCAATAAAGTCTTATTATATGGAGCTGATATACATGGATTTGCTTGCAGGATTTATGCACCACTTTCAAAGTCGGCACTATGTCATGTCTCTGCCTCAACCTGTAATTGAAAATAAATCTCACCAAATACTCCCAGGTTCTACTTTCCTAGACGTGTGGGCAAATGTGAATGGAGCGAGCCTATCCTCGGGGAGAACATAGCTCTATGATCTTGCCTCTCCCTGCCACTCATGCTGCACAGCGTGCTTTTCCTTTGGGAGAAATCCTTTGCACAGCGGGAGGGGGATGCACATAGACACTCAAGATGAAAGCCCATCTTTCAACCAAACTAGTGTAGCCACTCTGCGCTCTTATATTCACTTCCACAGAGTTACAGCAGGAAAAGCTCCTGGCTGACTATGTCCGTATTTCAAGGTACTGGGAGAACACAAAAGCAACAGTTGGATTTATGAAACCGTGGACATGATGCTAAAGTGCTAGGAGTGCTGCTTTTCGCCCCACCATTTCGTAGCACTTTGCAATTTAGGAAGTACCGTACTCTTCGTGAACTTCAGAATGCTGCCTGTAATTGCTTGAGTGATTTTGCGACTACTTACACTGAATTCACCTGGGTCGCTTCTTCTTGTGGAGAACAGTGGTCTTCGTGATGTGGACTGCATTTATTGCATTTTATGGGGCTCATGTATAAAGGTCTATCTGAACCAAAGTGACCTTTCACATCCCTCACAGGAACACGCAGTTTGTCATCATTCCATGGATAAGTCAGAATGTTAGTGAACATTTCATGACGCCACAGAAGCTCAGCCAATGACAGGGAGAGTGTTGTTCACACACAGCTAGCTCATCATATGTGGGGTTGTTTACTGGCATGTCAAGACGCAGAAGAAGATGCTTCTTTATATAAGTAAGAGCCTGAACAGTTGCAAGGTGAGCCAAGGCCAGCTGCATTATTTCCTTTCATAAATAAGCACACACAGACACACATCATTAACAGCCCTCCATTATATCCATGGGGCATTTGTTCCCACCTCTAGCTCTCTTTCTGACCCTGACAGACTTTAGCTACCCTATCTGCCTAGAACTCTGGAGCTCCATCTTAATGTGGCTCAATCCATCACCAAGTGCAGCATGTTAGAATCTGCATGTGCTTTCTCTGCTAGCGATTATTCTTCATTTGCTGACCTGCTGGTTTCTAGGATTGTCATTAGCAATAAGCAAAATGCTCAATTATGGCTCAGAAGTTATTAGAGGCAGAGCAGCGCACCGTCGCCAGGTTTACTTTGCTCCAGTTGTGCTCCCACCCCAACTGAGGGCCAGCTTCCACATGCCCTTGAAGAATGCCTCATCAGCAGCCTTGCCACATTGGGCCCCATGCCCAGGATGGGAAGGGGGGACATAAGTGGCCGTATTCAGACCTAAGTTGGGTAAGAGTATAGTTCCTTCCCTTGTTCACTGCTGCCTTTCTCTATCTTTTCTCTTTATCTGTGACTAGGACTGTAAAAATCCTGAGTGCCTGGTTGCACGAGCAGTTAAGACTCTAATGCTGGCAAGTAGGATTTTAAGGTATTTTCCCCAAGCCATGATAGAGCTGTGTCAGTAAATGCCCCTGTTGCAGTTATAATCTGCTTCATTTGCATTCTTTGGAACACCATGGCAGTAATTAACTCTGTTTAACTCATTCAAATGCTTCCTCTAGAACTCATTTTGCTGCTGCTACAAAATGCTTTGGAGTAGGTACCTCTCTGGGATTCATAATGATAGAAGAGGAAGAGCATGCTGCTCCTCAGTCTTTTGTGTATGGTTGGGTATGTTCTGTGCACCCACAGCACAACAGCAGAATTCAACCTTCTGAGTATCTCAGTATTTGCTCAATTTCTTTTTTAAAAAGTTTGTAGACCTCATTGCTACAGGGATCAAGTTTCAAGACACAAGGACAGTATCTACTAAAACCGCAGAATACAAGTGGGGAGCTCAGGATGACTTTCAGTTTGAAGAGCCGGTCTTTTCTCAGTGAAGCATTTGTGTACCGAAGGACTGTGATGCATGCTTTACATGGAAAAGGCCCCAGGGTAAATGCCTGGCATCTCCAGGTAGGGCTGAGGAAAGCTCCTGCCTGAAATCCAGGAGACTGGCTGCCAGCCTGTGTAAACAATACTGAGCTTAATGGACCAATGGCCTGGCTCAATTAAAAGACAGCTTCCCTATATTCCTTCCTATGCCTCCATACAAAATAGTTTTCTGAATAGCTAACAAGGCAGTCTCACCTGCAAACCTGCATCTCACTGTGGATCAAGAGGTGTCAGCTCTGGAAATATGTTGCCTACCATATATTTTTTTCCAAAGATCCAAAAGGGGACAGGAGGAAAATTGGGGGGAGGGGAAGGTGGGGTGCAACCAGAGGGAAACAATCAAAATGCCATCACTCTGTGTCAAATGAGATTAACAGTGGTAGGACGGAGGGTGGCTTCTGAGGCTTCTCCAACTTGCCTCTAATTCAGAAGAGCTGTCATTTTCTCCCACCACCACCCCGCTGCCAGCATTTCTTGCTTGGAAGTTAAAATTTGCCCAGCGAAAGGGTTAAGTTTAATTTATACTGATTTCCATTTAATATCATTCTCTCCCCGTAGGAGCCAGCAGCTGTGAGCTGATTGTAGTTTCTCATTATGCAGTCTGTATCGCTAATGGTCTGTGACAAAGGCATGGCATCTTCCAGGCCATACCCCCGAGAGCCAATTAAACACACATACTCCCTTCCTGTTTGCAATGCATTACAATGAAATTAAACTGAATTTCAAAATCATTTTCTCCTAAAGACATCTCTTTACAATAATTAATGCATGCCATTCGTTTGCATCTGAAATATTCATCAGGAGGGTCAACTTTTTAAAAATCCTTTCGTTCTTTTTTTTTTTTTAACGGATTGCCCCACAATGCTGCATTGCCCACTAACATCAAGCCGCAAAATCTCGCTGCTCACAGGAGGACTGCGGCATGAGCAAAACTTGCCAAACTGCAGCTCTCATTTAAGTCACAAAACCAACCACCCAACCACAAAATGAATAGAACACACACAGTAAAGCCACAGAGAAGGCACCAGAAAGTCAGGTTGAAGCACTTAAGTCGGTTATTAATGTTATTATTATATAGCATTTTACTGTCCAAAGTGCTTCACATATGTTATCCTGCTGTAATCCATACAACAGGCCTGCATGGTAGGCCAGCATATTATTCTGATACTGCAGATGAGACGCTGATAGCCACTTGATCAAGAACACTCAGCAAACTATCACAGCGAGATTTGAACTGGGGACATTGTTGGTTTGCAGCTCATTTTATTTGGTGCCATGTTGCATGATAGTTGTCTTCCTCTCACATTCCTCCTCAGCCCAAATTACATTAAACAAGCAGCGATACAGAAAGGAAGTGCCCCCTGTGTGCAAACAAAGACCTGGGCAGGGGTGGGAATAGACTGAGTGACAGGAATGAAATTAACCAGACACCCAAGCTTTCTACAGCCTACAAGATTAATGATAACCAGGGCTGAACGAAGAGAGAACAAATGTCCTATGTGTATACACTTACACTGTTGCTAGTAACAGGAATAGGAAAGAGTCAAAAACAAGACGGCTTTGGGTCAAGAGACTTAAGAGGCCAAAATGTAACTCTTAACAGGTCCCCCTACATTCCAAGGCTCTGCTGAGGGATGGAGCTAGCAGAAGGAACCATTCCATTTTTAGGGCACAACTGTATGGCGTCCCCATCAGGGGTGGGGATATTTAGTTCCTGAGACCCAACTCAGCCAAGGGTTCATATGATCAGTGGAGAATCCTTGACTGAACCCTATGAGCAAAACACCACTTAACCATATTACTGCTGCAGACAGAACACAAGGAGGTCCCAGCAGGGCTTGGGTTCAAATCCCTGCTCAACGTGGAACAGGAAAGGTAAGTGGACACTGAATGGGAACTATGCTACTCTTGACTTGTTGCAAGGGCAAATTGAGTTAGGCAAGTCCAGAGTTATTTGCATACAAGAGATATAAATGATATATTAATTTATGCTTAGCTAACACGGTGCCCTGCAGATGTTGCTGAATTACAACTCCCATCATCCCTGATCATTAGTGACGCTGGCTGGGGCTGTTGGAGATGGCGGACACCACGATGTCTACTCCTGTATTAATATATCAATATTACTAACACTAGTCCAGTAACTTTGCCCGAGCAGCAGCCAGGCGCAAGCGCTGCATCAGCTCCTGGTTCCCAGCCAAACACACCAGGGCTGAAGATCTTTCCCATAGTCTTGTGCCATGAACCAATGTAGAGGAGTCTTGCCACAGGGCACATCGCACTAAGACTCTCTCACTTGGGGGTCCTATAAAAAATGTAGTTAGTAGTCTTATGTCAGGTCAGTTACTCTGTCCATCTCATCTCTCTGGCTGGCAGTGGCTCTCCAAGGTCTCAGTTACAGAAGGGACTGTCCTACCACTGGCTACCTGACATTTTTAACTGGAGGTGCTGCCAGGAATTGAATCTTCTGCATGCAAAGTGAGGTGCTTCAGCACCTCCCCAATCAAGGTACCTGTTTTAAACCAGCCGTCAGGAGTGAAGGCATCCCTGGTCTCCTTAGGTCTGTTCCAGTATTCCAGAAATACCGTAGGCCCCTTCACAAAGAGCTCCCCTTCTTTGTCGTCCAAACCTGGGGTCACCTGGGGAAACAGAGATGCCATGTACTCCACTGCTAGCACAAGTTGCTTGCACCCATCAACCCAAAAAAAGCTGCACTCTAGCAATGAAGCAAGGGGATCCTGACCCTCCCAAGGCACCTGCATGACGGAGCAACTGCAGCCTTCTCAGACCTATCCTGATTCACAATACCGGTCCTAGAGCAAAGATGGAAGGTCAGCGTCCGGATGTGGATAGCCAAGTCCCAGACTGCTGACTCTTCATGACAGTGCTGATGTGTGCAGAAGATGACCAGGCTTCAGATCCTGCCTTCCCCAGCTCTCCTGGAGTTTCTGGAAATATAACGACCCAAGTGCTGCTGACCTACATAATGTGTCATCTTGCACTGCAGTGAGCAGAACAAGCTGACCCTTTCATTTTTATTTTTATTTAAATGCAGCATGTCGTATGTCCTGGGAATATGGTGTGGGGATAGTGGTAGCAACAGCGCAATTCCCCAGCCAGGTGGGCAAAAGGGAGTTTCAGCGGAGTTTGTGCACCCCTGCTTGTCTGAATCAAAAGGCTGGATGGGTTCCAAATTCCTTATCACCTGAACTTGGATTCTAGCAGAGGTTCAATGCTCCCCCCCCATCTTATCTACAGCACAGCTCCTTGGCAGCAGGCACCTCCCTGTTGTGCCATTTTGCGATACTACAGCTGGCTTGCAAACAGTAAAACAGAAAACCCGTGACGTTATCTTAATAGGATTTTGCTTCTTGAACTCGCAGGGTTCGTAGCTGTGCTCCCCAGTGCCTGGGAACATGTGGACCAGTTTGGCACTATCAGCTTGCAATGCCTGAACACTACAGGCGGTGGCAGGGGGTGGGGTGGGGGAGAGGCAGAAAGGCCGGGGTGTGTGTGTGTGTTTAAAATGGAGGTTCAAGATGCTTGTGCATCTATGGCACATCCACAAACTTGACATCCCTTCAAAACAACAACAACAACAACCCCTTGAAGTTCCCAATGGAGGGCTTCTTCTGCAGCCAGTAAGCTTGCTTTCCTTTCTTCTTCAAAATCTCCAAGGTACCCTTTTGTTGATACACCGGATCTAACTTACAAGCAGCTGTTGAAAGCATCAGATGGCTAATTGCATAGATATCCTATTCTCCAAGTGCCATATTTTAATGCACGTTTCAGCTGCTTTAATGCGTTCAAGCAACTTTAACATGCAGACACGGTGTGCCCTGGAAGACTGGCGTTTGATAGCTTTCCGCCGCAAAACGGATTCAGCAAGCTGAGCTAGGCCAGCCGGCGCGCCAGATAAGATTACATTTGCCACGCATGAAAATAAAAAGGTTGTAATAAACTCTCTGAAGGAATAAATCCGGGTGATTATAAAATGCATATTTTCAATGCTTCAATTTTACCTCTCTATTAGCAGGCAGCCAAGGTGGCTAGTAGAGAGGTGAGAGCTTTTCTCTGATACTTTCCCCAGGCAAGGCTCAGTTGTTTACGGGTGAGTTCTAGGATAGCCCTAAAGCCTGCTGCCCTGAAAAAACTGCAGCAGAGAAACTGGAGATGGACATCAGTGCTGCTGGAGGCAAAGGACTTGGCTAGACAACCTTTGCTCTGGCCCAGCAATGTTATGGTCTTCACTTGTTTTACAGGATGTCTATGTCTAAATGTAACATTTGCATAAGCCCAATATTCTTGTAAGTTACAGTGGAACAGACTCCATTGGAAAGTGGTAGACTCTCCTTCATTGGATGTTTATAAGCAGAGGTTGGAAGGGCATCTGTCAGGGCTGCTTTAGTGGAAATCCTGCATTGCAGGTGGGTTGGACCAGATGACACTTCAGGTCCCTTCCAACTCCACGATTCTATTATTCATGCTACTCAAGGAACAGGTGAACTTATGCCAAGTCATTTCATTGGTCTATCTAGCTTACTGAGTGCTAGTCCACACTGACTGGCAGAGGCTCTCCAGGAATTCAATCCGGGTTCTCAAGCAGATGCTCTACCACTGAGCTATGGCCCTTTGCCTGAGGCCTTGGCTAACACACCCATTCACTGGCCACTAGATGCTCTGCATTTGCGTGCTGACACTGCTGTATCCATCAGCTGCAATAATTAAATGGAAATTCTGTGCACCGAGGAGGTACACCTTGGGATTCCAGATATCAGAAGCAAGTAGTCAAGCTCCTTAGAGGAAAAGGTGAGATATAAATGTAATCAAATCAAATAACTATTAGCTGTGATACCTATATGGCACTCTGATGTACATCCAATAGTGTGGGCTGACAGCAGGAGAGGGCTATTGCTCTTGTGTCCTGCTTGTGAGCATCCTGGAGGCACCTGTTTGTCCACTGTGTGAAAGAGGATGCTCGACTACCTGCGACCTTCAGCCTCATCCAGAAGGGCTCTTCTAACATTATTTCAGGCAGTTCTCATTAAAGACTGAAGCATACCTCCTCTGGGCAACAAAAGATGGAGACAAACCAAAGGGAAGCCCCTGGTGTCCTGCTTCATGCTGACCGTTACTGGAGAGAATGCTAGAGGAGACTGTCAGATCCACCACCAAGGAAATTTGTATGTTCAGCAGACCATGGCCTCTGGGAACTCCTCTGGTTGGGAGATGCTGCCAGTTGCCAGGTAAAAAGCCCTGTGCTGAGGTGCATATCATGAAATTTAGATAGCCAAGATCACTTACTGTCCTTGGACGTAACATGTTGGGCACATCTCCTGTGCAAGTCCCTTTGCAATCCACGAGAGTCCCTCAAAAATTCACGGCACCATGGGCACTTATGCCATTTGCTTACACAGGAGATGCTCCCTATCGGATTGTGCCCTTGCTCTAGAGGAGAGTCAAGCTTAGGCACCATGCATGGGCACCAGCATTCCCTGCAAAGAACAAGCAAAGGCAGCAAAAAGTTTTTTTAAAAAATGCTAATCTTCCTAGTGGGACGTGGTTGTAAACGCACCAGCTGTGCTCTCCAAGATCACCGGCGGCGGCACGCAGAAAAAGCAATAAAATTTAAATTTTAAAGAAGCACTTCCAGAATGGCATATTCCCACTCCCACCATCATCACCGCCTGGCACTGGTTAAAAATGCAAAGGGTTTGCACTGCTGGTTTATATTTGCAATTAAATGATTACCTGAATCAAAGTACTTAAGGAATACTAGGAAGTTTCTTCTTGGCGGGGGGGGGGGAGTTAAGCAGGAGAAAATCATTTCTGCTTGTGCCGTCTGCATAAATGAGTCATTTTATTAATCCATTTGCTTAACAAAAATCAGAAATCTGCATAAACAATTTCTAATCAGAGCGAAAAAAACAGTAGGGAGCTCTTAGTCGGTGCCCCCCTCCTGGTTTGACACGGCTACGTGACACTGGCCATACAGCATCTGCCATGCTGTGGAACAGGCACAGGCAGTTGGGTGCATAACATTCGGTATATGCTATTGATGCCAAGGATGGGGGGTGGAATTGACCAGAGGAGAGAGGTTAAATCCACATTAGCCAAGGGCTCACCAATAGCAAACCACAAGGCACCACCACCACCACTGCAAAGGTCCACATTCTCAAAACTGTGTGTGATCTATTTATGGAATTCACAGGCAGAAAGTGTTATGACTTCCACAAGGTCAGATGGTTTAGACAAATTCATGGGCAGCAAGTCTTATTAATGGGAGGAAGATACGCTGCAATATTTGGGTTGCAGGTCCTCACCTCTCATGACTAACAGCAGTGCTCACCTTCTAGGTTCCAGCCAGCCTCTTCTAGGATGTCTTTCTTTGTAAATAGACACTCAACATTCCTTGGCTGCTCAGTCCTTCTTGGACTTTTTTTTTTTTTTTTGCTGGGGGGGGGGCTAAAAATGGTTTGTTTTAAAGTAATTTTTGTACTTCTGCAAACTTCAAGAGTTCTCCCAAGCTAGTTGGCACCTCCTTCTAGTTGGCCCCATTTTTGATTAATTTCTGTTGGCACTTACCACCTGAGTCTGCTGTGAGGGGGAGGGATGGCTGTGTGGAACTTCCCAGTTCCCCTTAATACCAGTTGCCACAGTGCCTTCATACCCTGCTGGGAGATTCCCCAGAGCAATCGAGCTGGTCTCTGTGGGAAGCAAGACACTGGACTACATGGGCATTCGGTCCTGACCCAGCAGGACTCTTCTTATATTCTTGTGCATGCCTTGAACAAGAGTTGTCATCCAGAGGATGCTGTCCACAGAAGTTATTCAGTTCAACCTTCTGTACAAAAGGAGAACCATTTGCCTGTGTCAGGACCTGTTCATGCCCAGCTCATCTGTCGGAATCAGAACTATGCAGAAGAACGAAGCAACAACCAATCAACGCGTAATCTGGATCAGGATACTGCTGTTATTCCACAACAGGATGGGTGTGACTGGGCAGGTGAAGAAATTGGTCACTTGCTGCCTGACTGTTGCTGGTGTGACACCTTCTTCTGTCCAGCCACCTGTATTCCAACATGACTTCTTGCTGGATAGCTTCCCTGTTAATTCAGGACACTTTGCCTTTAACCTGCCTTTGCCTCGCCACACAGCTTCCTAGCCTCAACAGAATGATGGCGAAACCAGTCATACTACACAAGCTGGCAGAAATGGGACCCTCGCTTGCCAGCTCCCCACAGGGAAAAGTAGTAGCAGAGGAAGGCAGAGGCAGCCAGCCTCTTTTTGCCTTCTGCAATAAGCACACCTCACCTGTGCCCTGGGGCACAGGCGCCACTTGGCCAGCGGCATCCTGCCTGCTGCCGTGGCTCTGCAAGGGGTGAGCTAAGAGCAAAGGGGCTTATTTTTCACAAGGCCACCAATCCAGGCATCAGATAAAGCAATAAACTTTTAATCGTCTATTCTGGCAGATTTGCTAGTAGTAAAACGCTCAGCAGCACATTACCCATCTCCTAGGCAACCTGGTCCCTCATACCCATTTGTAATTAAAAATTCCCCCATAAGCCCCCTTTCCGCACAAGCGGCATTATCTCTGCTACGAGCTGCGTGTCCTGCAGCAGAGGCTACAGAAGGCAATTGCAAGGCAGCGCCATTTCCCTCCTGCTGGAGAGAAGGCAGATTTCAGCTCCTTGGGGAGACGACACCGAGGATGAGAAGAAGAGGGAAGAAAAAAGTCACCCAGAGCCCAGACTGTAATCTGCAACAGCCACATTTCACATCTGGCTTTGCAACGGTAACTTTTCATAAAGGAGGGTTAGAATAATGCAATCAATTCGCTTTTCATTTTGGGAGGTTTCACATTTTTAAAAAATGAAGGGAGAAAACGAAATGAGAAGAGGAGGAGGAGAAAGGAGAGGAAGCATACGGGAGAGAGATCCTAAATACTTGGCCCAATCTGTAAATCATCAATAATGACTTCATTTGCATGGGTAAAGAATCTGTAATGCAATAGCCAAGTGATCTAGTTTTTGTTTGTATGTATGTATGTATGTGAGTGTATACACACACACACACACACACACACACACACAAATCTAAAAGCAGAGAGTCCAAAACCCAATTTTTTGCTCGTGGAACTGAACCAATTTGCATTCCTCAAGACATTCAGTGCTCACAAGTGGGGAATTGGAGGCAGTTGGAATGACCCAGAAATTCCCATGCATGGTTTAAATCATTGTCTATTCTGTTTTAAAGAGGTGATTAATTTTAATTCACAGGCATGCCTCGGAGATGAGAGAGATCAGAAGAGGAAACTGTCATACTGGGAATTCAAAAGCCTGCCTATTCGTATGCCAGTCTATCCTTTATTTATTTATACTCTACTTTTCTGCTTAAAACACACACAAACAATCACCACGTGGCTTATAAAAGGTAAAAACAGGCAACCCAACACAGCAAATGGTCCTAGGAAGAAGAGAAGAGAATACAAACAGCCGTCTTCAAATATCTGAAGGACAGAGGATGAAGCAGAAGTGCCCTGTTGCTCCAGAGAACAAGAGCAGCTGAGTGTAAAATTGTAGAGGAAGCAGAGTTAGGCATTAGGGTGTTTTTTTTTTTTTTTTTTAAAAAGCCCTAATGATAAGAGCTGTTTGACTGTGCAACTGCCTACCTCAGGAGGTGTTAAGTTCTCCTTTGCAGGAAAAACTTAAAGCAGAGGATGGACAAGCTACCTGTCAGGAGTTATATAGTTGCATCCTGTGTAGCAGATCCTGCACTGAGCAGGGGGTTGGATTAGGCGACCGCAAATGCATTTTCTACTTCTTATGATTCAAAATCCCTGCCGTAAATGAACATACAAAATCAAATCCCAAATACAACAACACCTCCAAAAAACAGCAGAGCAGGTTAACAGAATGAAATCATACACTAAAAACACACACTGGAAAAACTAATGGCCTATGCCAATCAAAAAGACAATACCCTTCTGCATCATTTGTGGTGCCTCCTTCTTAGCATCCACAAAACCACCAGTCCCACAGAAAATGGGCTCTCCCAGAGGCCACAAGGCCAAGTTTTGGCTCTGGACCAGCCTGCTGCTACTCTCTCCTCCATCCACCCCTGCAGGGAAATGCCATCTGCTGAGTAATGCAGAATGCAGCAGCCTTTCATTGGGGGGAAAAGTCCACTTTGCTAATCTTTCTAACCAGCTCACCACTGGAAAGGAAACATTCCCTGCACTCACAATTTGCTAAATATTTAATCCAGCTCCAGCGCAGCTCTTCAAGATGCATCTTGGTGCATCCATTTGCACTGGCCTTGAAAAAAAATAATGGAGTCCAATATGAGGTGTGGCAGTCCTGGGCTCCTTGGAAGGGCATAGTTTCTCAGAGGGACCATAGCTGGAGCACCTGCCTTGCATGCAAAAGGCCCCAGATTTTATTTATTTAATATTACAATTATATCCCAACTTTTCCGCCAGAAGCTCAAGGGGGCATGCACTGTTTCCCCCCCTTCCCCATTCTATCCTAAAAACAGCCCTGTGAGGTAGGTTATCCTGAGAGTGTGCAACTTACCCAAGGGCACTCAGTGAGCTTCATGGTTGAGCGGGGATTTGAACCCAGGTCTTCCTAGTCCTAGGCCAATACTCTAACCACTAAACCCCACTGGTTCAATCCTAGCATCTCCAATTACGTAGGAAGTAAGGTCAGACTATTTGCACATCTCAGTTGAGGGGGGCGGGGAATAACATGTGGTCCTGCGCCCCCCATGGACTCCAACTTCCACAGCTAGTTGTGAGGGATGATGAGAGTTATGCTCCTGCAACATCTGGATGGCCACAGGTTCCCCAGCCCTGATCAAAGCCAGTGCAGTCTGTTCTGATTGATAGCAGCTCTCCGGGGGCTCAGGTAGAGAGAGGCCTTTGGTGTCACCTGCTCCATGGCCCTTTCTTCTTCTTCTTTTTAAAAATGGGAGATGGCATGAATTAAAGTTGGGAAGAGTGTGCTCCGCCACTCATCTAGTCACATGTTGCTTCCTCTCTTCCTGAAGCCCCTGTAGCAACAAAACTGCTCACTCTCAAAAATCTCCCAGTTAGGAGACGTGGCATTTCTGTGCAGCTGCAGAGCCCGTTTTATCTGCTGACAGCGCCCCACTGCCAAGGCTCAGAGTTCGGCTCTTGGATCTAAGCAAGCGCTTCTTTTCTTTTCCCCTTTTTAAGGGGAGGGGGAGAATGGTGGCGGAGTTTGGGGGGGCGGCTTTAAAAATAAACAAACAAACAGACAGACAATACCCGCTATGCTCCAAGAGTTTGCAAGCTCCTGCCAGCTGGGAAGCTACAGCCTATGAAATATGCATCCCAGTGAACAAAGCAAGATGAAATATCCAGAGCTGAGCAACAAAGAAGAAAGGGGGGATTAACCCTTTCCTGCCCCTCAATGCTGATAAAATTAGAGAGCCCCTCCAGATGTCCTTTTTATTGTGATTTTGCGTTCACAATGATTTGCGCTCACGATTGTACTGGGGCCAGGGCAGTTATATGTCATGCCGTTTGCAAAAGTTCCATAGCAGTCATGCCACTTCATTTCCAGTTGGGGAATGACTAGTGATTACCTGCTGAAATCCTGTACTTTTTCATACACAAACGTTCTGGGTTATGTTTTATTACGTGTTTATATGTGTTGGAAGCCGCCCAGAGTGGCTGGGGCAACCCAGCCAGATGGGAAGGGATAAATATTTATTATTATTATTATTATTATTATTATTACTACTACTACTACTACGTTCCGAGGCACTGCACGTGCCAGTGAAATCACTTATATTTGAAACACCACTGAAGAGGCCTGAAAACACACCGTTCTGCCCCAGCTCCATTCCGTCCCTTTATGTGACTTTTTGGATCACTTCTGGGTTTGGTGTGATGTCTGTGTGTGTAGTCACACACATACAGAACGTGTATAAATGGGGGGTGGGGTCTGACTGTACTGCCTCTGTGATAGGAGGCGGAGCACAGCCCTATCATGGGCTTATCCTCCATGAAAGTGTGTCAAATCCTCTTTTAAAGCCATCCAAGTTGGTGGCAATCACTGCCTCCTGCAGGAGTGAGTTCGACTATATATTGCGTGAAGTACTTTCTTTTGTCTGCCCTGAATCTTCCAACATTTTGCTTCGCTGGGTGTCTATGAATTTTACTGAGAGAGGGAGAAAAAGTTTTCTCTGTCCACTTTCTCCATGCCATGCATAATTTCCTCCTACTCACCTTTTCTCTAAACTAAGAAGTCCCAAAATTTTCCTCATAGGGGAGCTGCTCCATCCCCTTGAGCATTTTGGTTGCCCTTTTCTACTTTTAACTGCAGTACACAGAGCCAACATTTTCATATCTCCCATGACTCCACGAGCTCTTTCCCTGGCTAGTCACCACCAGTTCAGGCATCATTAACATATAGAATAAAACCATTTTAAATAACCATGGTTTATATAAATATATGTGTGTGAGGAACAACCAAGTTCCAGGCTAATAGTTATCACCCACTGCTTCTGTATTATAATCAAAAGAGTATTGGGCACCTTAAAAGCTGACAAATTTATTACAGCATAAGGTTTTGTGGACTCGAGACCACTCTGTCAGAGACATGAAATGACATCTGAGTTGACAGGTATACAAAGGAGAAAAACGGTAGGGCAGGAGCTGAATGGCAATGAGATGCAAAAATTACAGCCAGTGATAATTAAAGCTTAAATATCTGTTAAACAGGCACACTTGTAACCTTTTACAACAGCAGTGATAATTGCTGAAATGATTATATTAACACCTTCAGTGAGGCAGGGAACCATTCTCAAGAGTTAAAGATAGTCATCTTAAAGGTGCCACAAAGATCTGAGTGTTTTTGCTACAAGACACTAATGCAGCTACCGCTCTGGAAATTTGTGCATTATAGTTTTCTTACTTGTATTATAAAGGCACTAAATCGCAATAATATATAATATCGCATAAAATATACTTTTAAAAGGAACTATTAGCAACAGCGCAGTGGGGCTTGATGCTGATCCTTGCCCTCCTTCAAGCGTATATCAAGGGCAAAAGTATGGGATGGAGGTTAATAATCACTGAAGCCAAAGAACCGCTGAAGCCAAATCGGAAACTGTGGATGGTGCCGAGGTTCAGAGTGAGGTTTCTCTAATGAAGCAAAGTGGGAGAAAGGAGAGAGAGGCAGCGCCAGCAAACTTCCCGCTAAGTAGCTTATTGATCTTTGGGCTGCGCCAGAAACTAGCTTTGCAAATGACATCAGCTCTTTTGGCACACTATCGCACGGCTCTCGGACTTCCAAGTGCAACTTTCTTACATGACTGCAAGAATCTTGTCCATGGAATTTAATCCTGTGGGTTAAACTTTCTATCTCTATCTCTCTTTTGAGAGGCAGGTTTAATTAGGGATCTCATAAACTGGAGGCAGGAATTACAGAAGCAAACGCTCAAGTAAGTTAGACCACGTCCAAACATTGGAGTTCTAAAGAAAAATCCTCAGCTGGAGGAAGGAAGTATTCTAAGCAACAACTGGTAATTCATAACATTTTTGAAGGACCACCTTCTACCACATGAGCCCATCCACTATTTCAAATCATCATCTGGGATGCTGCTCCAGGTGTTCCTTCATTCCTCAGGCAGCAACTAGGGACTGGACCGTTTTTCTGCAGGTGTCCCAATTATGAGGAAGAGCCATGGGAAGTGGCAGAGCACCTGCTTTTCATGCAGGAGGTCCCAGGTTCAATCCCTGGCATCTCCAGGTAGGGTTGGGAAAGACTCCCTGTTTGAAACACTATAATTCCACTGCTGGTCAGAATTGATGGTGCTGAACTAGATGGACCCTTCAGAGTCTGACCAGGTCTAAGGCAGCTTCTTCTGATCCAATTTTGAAATTTGCTTTGCAGATATATCTGCCAGGTGCCTACTTTTCTGTAACGCACCAAACCCAAAACCTGTTATTTTCTTGTGCTTTGGGCAAGCAGTAGCACAGCAATAAGATTTCTCTTGCTATTATAAAGTTGCTGCATTAGTGATAATGCCCTCTTGTGGATGTGGCTGATAGGGGCAGAATGAAAGGGGAGAGAGTATGAATTCCACAACCAGAAACCCCAACTTTTTCAAAGAGAAGCATTTTCATCACTTTGCATAACTTATTTTGGTTCCAGCCTTTAAAAAGAAAATGCAAAAAAATAAAATCGATGGGTTTAGGGAGGGGAGCAGCAGCGAAGCGAGGAATGGGCGGCCTGTTAATGTCAGCTCGAATGAGCACTGCTTCTGTCTGGAAATCACCCACAGCACAACCTCCAGCACAAGTGGACCTGGAGAAATGCATGATTGACCAAACTGCCTTCTTGCAAAAGAGATAAAAGATTAAAATCATTGGCTAAATTTGTAGAAATTTGTTCTGCCATGTATGGCTTTCTTTACTAGAAAAATGTTTATATTTATATTAGATAGCTAGATAGCTAGATAGATGAGCATGCCAGGCCAAAGACTAAATAAGTGATTTATGCAACCATTTCTTTCGTGGCCAAGCTCCTCTGAGTTAACTTTCCTGGTAGATTCTAGAGTGCTCAGCTGGTCTTCTGAATGTGCTGGCATTTGTCCAGGTTGGGTTGAACCAAGAAACAACATTTTGGAGGTTCACCATTTGAATCAGTATTATAGTAGGAACAGAGGAAGCCGCCTTCTAGCAGAGTACTGTGAGCTCCGACTGGCTGTGGCTCTCTAGGGTTTCAGGCGGATAAACCTTTCCCATCACCTCCTGCTTGACCCACTTTTTAACTGGAGATACCAGGAACTGAAGTGGAGGCTTTCTGCATGCAAAGCAGGTGCTCTGGCTTTCAGCTATGGCCCCTTTCCAGTATTCACCACATGCGTTCAGGGGGCCTAGGCCTACTCAGAAACATAAGCTGAGTTTGCCTCTCCACCTAACAAAAAGAAGAAAACACCAACTGCCCCCAAAGTAGCATCAGTGATACGTCACTCCTCCTGGCAAGGGGACCAAAGTGGACAGGAAAAAATAACCCTTTCCTAACCTCTTTGCCCTTCCTGTCCTCTGCACAAGTTTGTTAATACCTTTGTGCCATTCTCATCGCCTTCAGCATGGATGGTGTAGGCAGGGCCTTCCTTTTGCGAGCTTTCTGAGGCTATGCGCACTTGCACTCCGGGCAGTGGAAGCCCCACCGACCCTAGAGGGAAAAGAAAGAGGAAGTTGAAAGCTGGTGGGTGGAGCAATTGGACAGACACCAAGCCCAGCACCAACCGCTAACAGCAATGGGTCAAAATGTGAGCTATTTAGATCAGGACATTTGCAGAACATTTCCTTGTTCCAGTGAAAATCCATTTTCAGAGTTCTCTCAACTGTGGCTTTCCATAAAAGCTCACACACACACAAAAAACATCCTAAGTGTTTACTATTAAAGAAATATTGAACAGCTTTTGCCCAGTTTGTTTTTTTAATTTGAATCAGATGGCACAGCGTAACTCTCTTGGCACAGAATTTGGGAAGTAGTACAGCAGCACAGCCCTGGGTCCAGGACACAGGTCCAGTTACAAAGGGGCAGGCAAGATGAGGGCCCCAAACTGTGCAGAGAAACCCTGCTGGAGCTGGGGAAGTCAAGATGGTAAAGGCACAGCAGCAGGAGAAAGGCCACACACTTCTCATTTCACCCGGAAGTCATGCGATGCAGAGAAGAGGCAGGATAGCCCTGATGCTGGAGGGGAGTAGTGCACCAGCTTGCATCAACACCATGAGGGATGATGCAATGGTGATACAAAAGCCCTGAAATGACAGGGGAGAGCACCAAGCAAGAGGCAGAGGCAGCTAAGGACCAAGGATACTGCATACTAGCAGGGGCCCAGCAGAATTATTATCATTATTATGCCAACATTTATCAGTTGCCTTATACAAAAGAAAAAGTCTCAAAGCAACTTGATAAGATAAAATGCAACACACAAAAGCAATTTAAAAATCTGAAAAATTTTAAATGATCAACAACACACCAAAAAAATCAAATTCCCATCCAGTAACATAATAATGACAAGTCCTACCCACCTCACTAAAAAATGACCACCAGCATAGCAGGCAAAGGCCTGAGTATACCAAAAGGTTTTAGCTTGGTGTCAAAAGACTGGCAGGGATGGTGTCAGGTGTGTCTTCCTAGGGAAAGCATTCTACAGGGGGAGGAGAGGGGACATACTACTGAAAATGTCTGTTCTGGTGGCTATCCTTTGTACCTCCCTTGAGGGGGGCACACAGAGGGGGGCCCTCTAATGAAGGGTGTGGGCTGGCTCACATGTGGAGAGGCAGTCCTTGAGGTACTGTATTCTGAGCTGCATAGGGCTTTAAATAGGGCTGCCATATTTTTAAAAAACCCCAAAATTGTTGAGCGATTTTTCTATTAATTTGCCTAAGATCCAGGACAAAGTGCCGCCTTTCAGAAATCCCCCCCAGAAGTCCATTCCACCTTTGAAATCCCGGTAATGTCAGGGAAGATCCAGACGTATGGCGGCCCTACTTTAAAGGCCCAAACCAGCACTCTGTATTGAGCCTGGAAACTAACTGGTAGAACGTGAGCTCCAACATCCCTATTGGGGTGTCACCAGTTGCATCCAGAAGACTGGAGTGCAGAGTGCTGACCCAACAGCAGCTTTTTCTGTGGCTGCCTCTGAAGAGAACGACCATTTCAAACTTGCCCTTTGACTAACCTATTGACAATTGGCTTTGAAGCTGCTGCATCACTCAGAAATGAAAGAACTGCAGCCACCCGCACCCAGGACCTGAAGACACTGCAGTGTTTTGACAGAGATTCCTCCAACACCAATTTACAAAAGATGGAAACAATGGATGGTGCATCTTCCTGAGTGAGCTGTACATGTGTGCCTGATTCACAACCACTGCATGTGCTCTGAAGACATGACAGCAATTTAATTATTGCAAAGATAGGGAGGTCTCTGTACTCAGACTATGCAACAATCCCCCCTCCCGTGCAGAGGAAAACCAACCGCAAGTCTCCCATACTTTAATTCAGTCCCTATATTTCCAAAATAAACCCAATGTATAGATATATTTTAAAAAGAAAAAGCTACCCACTGAGAGCTGACTTATCGCACTCTTTCCAGAAAGGGTCTATTTTTTTTTTCTCCCCTCCCAACCCAAAATGACAAACCTTTGAAAGCAGAGGTCTATAAAAGGCTGGGAAACGCTGACAACGTTAATTATAGCGATACCAGCACGACAGTGCAATTAAAGTCTTCGTGCAAAGACAATGACTCGCGCTCCTCGGGGCCGAGTGACATATAAAAATTAAGTCTGTATGGGTAACAGAGGGTCCAATTCGGCTCCCCGGTGATGCCAGGCAAAGATGGCCAGGGGGTGGGAGTGGAAGAAGAGAAAGGAAGATTCTATCCTATGCAGATGGAGAGATGTTTTGGTTGTTGTTGTTTTTTTAAGCAGCCTTGGCCTCTTCTGATTCTTGCCCGGAATCTCACCGTATAAACCAGGGGAGAGGTCTCTGCGCCTGTCCCCTTTTAGTTTGTGAGCTCCTGGACTTTTGGCAAGCTGCCTGCCAAGCTAAGCATCAGCCCCGGCAACCCAAGACAGGCAGCCGTCAGAGAAGGGAGCAACCCTATTAGCCCTCCACCAGTTCTCCCCCCACCCCTGTTTAAGTTAGTTGTCAGTTCTTCCCTGATAAATTTAATTGGCCCTGCGGTCTGTGTCCTTTGGTATCAGGGGACCTGGATGCTGTTATGTGTGGTGGTGTCCTCGGAGAATTGAAACAGGCCAACGATAAGGCTCTCAGCACTCTCCCTGTCAACAATCTATGGAGTCCCCGCTGTAGGAGCTATTAGCCGCCTCTGATCTAAACCTCCAATTAAAGTGGTGATTAGGCCCAGTGAGGCATTCGCTGGCCATGAATTATTCATCTCCCTTCACAGTAACAACACCGGGGGGATAAGAGAGAGAGAGAGGAGGAGAGAGAGAAAGAGTGTGTGCACACTGCAGAAAACAGAAGCATTTTAAGCAGGGTTTTAACCATGTACGAGCAAAGCGCTTATCTCCAAATCTTTCATCTCCTCTTCCTTCGGACAGAACCTCTCCTATACTTTTAGATCTCAGCACCTTGAGAACAGAAGTGTCAGGGCTCTACAGATGACAGGACATGGTCCCTGGAGCTAGGGGTGGAGGGTGGAAAGGAGACAACTGGGAGGCAGTGGAGAGGGAGGCTGGGGCGTAAATGCCTCTGCAAATTCCAAAGGCGGCAGGAGGAGAGGGGAACCCCCCCTCCTCCTATTTTGCCAGCACTCTAAAATAAACTCGGGATGAAAAATATATTGCACACGTATGTTACATGTGAAAAACTGGGCAGGGGTATGAGTCCTGGCAGCAGAAGACACAGGCAGATCTGCCTGCACACAACAGCTTCCCCTGTCATTCCAACAGAGAAAGCAGATCTGTGGGGAACATTCCTTTGCATGTGCAGAGCTGTATACCTGCCTTTGGAATGAATGAGACACCCTGTACACATCTGGGCACCCATTTGCCAGCCAGGTTCCTGAGAGAGATTATCCAAGGGCACAGGCCACAGGTTTCTTTGAGCGCCTCCTCTATCTGCTCACGCTCCTTCCAAACAGAGACTCGCTGGAGTTGTTCTTTTAGTATGGAGTTCAGAAGTCCGGCCTTGCGTAGATTTGCCCCCATGGTGAGGCTCCCTGGGAACTGACTTGGCAATACGTTTTCTCATGCTGCCTGACGACTCCATACCCCGCAGTGCCAGCTGTCCAGTCCTGAAGCTTTTGGTTGTTCTAATTATTCTCTTTTGTCTGTGTTGTGTCAACCTCAGCATCTCGCTCCTTTTTCATCTTTGTCTCTAGGGAGATTCTTGGCATGCATCCTACTACCGAACACAGCGCTGGAAGAGCGTCATGGCGCTGGAGCACTTTGATCGTGCCACTGCTGCTTAACACCTTAAGCCTGAAAAGCTGCAATCACAGAGCCCAGGATGCTGCCTTTCGCCACCTCCGCTGGGCAGTTCTAAAGAAACCCTGTTCTTTGGGTCTGCTACGACACGGTGGCTGAAAGAGTCTCCGGGGAGCAATATCCGCACACATAAGCTGAAGATGTGTTTGAGGATGAGAGTTTTGCTGGCCTGGGCTGCAGCATTTGAGGTTTTTCAGCTCACAGAAGAGGAGGAAAACTTATAGAAGCATATAAAAATTATACATGGCATGGAGAAAGCAGATAGAGAAAAGTTTTTGACTTTCTCTCATAGCACTAGAACTTGTGGACATCCAATGAAGCTGAATTTTCTGGGAAAACCAAAGAGCTCAGCACATAGTTAAACTACAGAATGCACTCTCAAATGAGGCAGTGATGGCTACCAAATGTGTTGAATCCTCTTTTAAAGCCATCTGACAAATTCATGAAAGCTGCCAATGGCTACTAGCCATGACGGCTACACTCTGCCTCCATGGTGCAGGCAGTATGCTTCTGAATACCACTTGCTGAAACCACTGGGGTGGGGAGTGCTGTTGAGCTTGGGTCCCACTTGTGGGTCATTAGCCAGATCAGCAGGGCTCTTCTTATGTTCTTATGTCTAAAGGGGTAACAGAGTTCTGCTCCAGCTGGGAATAAGCAATACAACAGGCCAGGCCAGCCTTCCCCAACCTGGTGGCCCACTAGTGCTTCCGACAGCTCCCATCAGAACCAGCCAGATCAGCTGTGATGGCAGGGTTTGATGGAGTGTTACTCCAAGGCAGCTGGCGGGACACCAGGTTGTGGGAGAGAGGCTGGGCTATCCTATAAGTTTGTGGCCTCCACACCATCTAAACTGGGCCTCCAGAAGTAAATAAAATAGATGATAGATAGATAGATAGACAGATAGACTCTGATGCAATGGAGAGAGAGCTGAATGAGCACCTGGGAGGTCATACCTCTGCCTCAGAATCACAATGTGGCCTTGGAGAAGTTGCTTTGTCTCATTCTCTTGCCTGTTCATCTACTGCAAGGATGGGAAACCTATGGTCCTCTAATGTTGTTGAACTCCAACTCCTGTTGGCTCCAGACAACACAGCTCGTATGCCAGGGATTATATGAGCTGGAGTCCAACACCATCAGGTGAGCCACAGGCTTTCCCAGTCCTGATATACACATTTAAACAGCAGTAGCAGCCTTATTTGTGGATTTAAAGGGACGAGGGTTTACCTGCCAAAACAGACCCTTAGTACAGTCCTGATCTGAAAGCACCTCCCCTTTTTTCTCCAAACGTACAGCACCTAAAGCACTTTAATCATCATAGGACAACTTGCAGCCCTCGCTAGACTCTTACCTGGGATACGCGGGCCATGGAGTGGGTTTGAAAGCGCCATCCCAACTTCCGTCATCCCATATCTCTCCAACAGCGTGTGCCCAGTGATGCTCTTCCACCTCTCCAGGATAGGGACTGGGAGGGCTGCAGACCCTGACACCATCAGTCTGCAAGGAGGGATGCCAGCGAGAGTTAAGTTGCTTAACAACTGCAGAGCAGGATTATTGCCACAGCCGTTCAATATCTATTTAGAACCAAGTGCAGGGGCCTGCCGGATTCTGCTTTCAGCAGCACTACCTAGAAAAGGGGAACTCAGCATCATGCTACCACTCCCTTATACCTTAGGATGGATTCAGACAGGATGGACATGTCTGGGTGGGTAACCAAGTAGGATATTAACTGGGGGTGGTGAGAAAAAAACAATTTAAGATGACTTTGGTAGAGATAATGAATGGGGGTAATTGAAAAGGAATTGAATTGATTTGGAGCAGGATCTGTTGGGAAATTAAGTTGGGGTAAATGAATGGAAGGGAAACTGATCTGGAGTGATCTGTGGTGGGCTGCAGGTTAATTGAAGAATTGATCTGCGGTGATCTGGATGGGAAATCAGTTGGCTTGCATTCTGTGATATTAACGTTTTAAATGTGAATCTCGGCCTACAGTTTAGAATATCCATGTTTGCCTCTTTGGGCCCTTCCCCCAAAACTTCTGCGTAACTAAGTAATAGACCTGGTTTCCTGCAAATACAATACAGGTTGCAAGAAGTGCTGGTCCCCTGTGAGCACAGGAACAGCCTCTGGACAAAATGTAACCGAGAAAAAACACCTACATGAGACAGCCACCAGGAAAGCAAAATGTACTGGACAGGCTACTCTCTAGGGCCAGTCTTGCCCCGGAGCAAGACGTTCCCTGGCAATCGCCCCACAAGCAGAGAAGAAAACAGGGCGGCATTTGCTGCTGCAAAGTGGTGACAGCACGATGAGGGTTGGGCACCTGCCAGAACAGAAAAAGGGCTTTGCATCTACATCTTGGAACCCAAACCGAGAGCAGAGACATGACAGATGGTTTTTAACAAGATAGTAGGAGGTTAGCCTGGAGAATAAGCTGGATCCCTGGCTCTTGTCTCTCGGAGGGCAAGCTGTACAGAATCATGGGCTCAGTGTCACCAGATTGGAAGGCGACCATGTAGCTCAACATCCGCCCCAGAAGCAGAATATCCTGTCCCTGAAGTATCCCCTGCCAGGTGCCTGGTTCAGCCTTCTGAAAGCCTCCTTCCGAAAGAAGGAAATCGTCTGTGGTGGGCAGTTTAATTCACTGCACAACTGCAAACCTCCTTGGAGAGCTTCAGAGTGGGGGCCAAAAGAAGTGCCCATTGGAATCTAGGAAATCAGATTCTGCAATCTGTACCGCAGCCCCATGGGTCCCTGGACTACCCTTTCCCACGGCTCTCAGAAAGGGCCTGGCAGGGGACATGGAAGAATTTTAATTAGTTCACATTTAAAGGCAAATCTACCTAATACACCCTTTCCTAAACAATATGTGAGAACTGAAACATGTGCATTTTTCCACATTTTGCAATGCAGTTCTCCAGCCATGTAATGTGTACAAAAGTGTATATACTGGGGTAAAGTGTCCATAAAACCCCCCATATGTTAGTGAAAATAGCATTTTTGGGGGGAAACAGCATTGCAAAAATGTGCATTTAAGATTGGAAAAAATGAGAAAAAGAAAGGAGTCTGCTAACTGGCACGCCTCCCTCCCATGATTTCACCCTCTTTTCCAACTTGAAATCAAGGTGCTCTGCCTGCTGTTGGAACTGATCCCTTGGCCCATGATGTGGACATCACCCACCTTCCAGCAAAGGTAGTGTGCCTTTGCTAAACTGAAGGAACGGCCTACATCTTAATTCAAGGCAGAACCCATCAGCGTCAGATCTGGGATTTGAGCATGTGTTGAGGATTGTCCTCTGTGCATTCAGAGGGGCTGGAGGTGACCTTAAGCACATGCAGAGAGCCTTCCTTTCAACTGCAACAAACCAGTACTAGCCTCTTAATACAGAATAAATTAGCCCATTTCTGGGATAGGATAGGGTGGGTACCTAGGAAGGGATAAAAAGTTACCATTATGCAACTAAATTCAAGTCAGGGCAAGAGGGAGAGGAAACATGGCTGTGGCTTTGGCTCAGGTAGGACCACCTACCTGATATTTTCCCGGCAGACAGCATGAATGAAATCTTGGACGTGAGGCTGTCGGAAATGCTTGTCATAATGCTCCATCAGCTTGGCATAAATGGTGGGCACTGCCATGAAGACATTCACCCGGGGAGCTTGGGGTTTCAGAAATGCCTCCCAGACCTGGAACAAGGACACAGAAAAGCAACTTGTAAAGGCAATCCAACAAAGCTAAACAATGCTTCCTGCAAGGGTCTCTCTGTCTCCTTTATCCCGGTTGAATGTGTGGGAATCCTGCCCCAGGTCATTTGGAGCTTTCAAGGTTAAAACTGGCATATAGTTGTGTGTGTGTGTTTATTATTGTTTCTGTTATGGTGATTTTCACTTTTTAATGGTTGGAAGAGAATCTAATAAATTTATTTTTTTTAATTGGCATTTTGAATTGGGTCTGGAAATGCACCGGAAGCCAGGGCACATGCGAAGCACTGGCACCATGGGGTATCAGCCTGTTAGGAAAGCTTTTTCCACCCCCCTGCAGCTGAGAAGAGGACTCTAAAGGACCAGGCAGAAGCAGAGCGAGTTGCACTGAGAGTAGAACCTGATCAGCCATATCTAAGCTCTTTCGGGATCAAACTCAGAGAATGACAAATAGCCACTTCACATCCAGAAAGGGTTAGAGAAACATCTTGCTCACCCGCAGTGCCCCACAACAGGCACAAAGTGGGTCAGACTCCCACATCTGGCTAAGCGGACTCTGGGGTCTTTGGGCTTGACTGAGCAGCCAGCCTCGAGAGCATCGGGAGACCAAGTCGTGAAATGAATATTTAACCTTGGCTAGTGTGCCCCCAGTGCTGTTGCTCGTCTCCCTCAGTGCTGCCAAGCAAGAGGGAGAAACCCCATAAATAAATAACGAGACGGCCCTTGCCTGTTCTGTTATGGTAACCTTCCTCCTCCTCCCCTTCTTCCCGGCTCCTGCCCCATTGCTGACAAATGTATTCTCTAACAATTCATGACACCATGGTGCTTCCCCCCCCCCCCCCGCCAGCTCAGCATGCTCAGGCACAAAGAGGTGCATGCAACAGGGAAGGAAGGCGTGATATGACTGAAGGTGATCAAGCCACTCTCTTTCCTAAACCAAGCTCCCTTCTTCTGACGCCAGCTCTGTCCATCAGCTCTTTGAGCCACAGAAATGCCTTCTAGTACATCAAAGAAAGATGACTCCCATATCTAGAGGGTGCTCTGAACAAAAGAAGAGTCTTCTGGGTCAGGTCAACGGCCCATCTAGTCCATCACCCTGTTCTCACAGTGGCCAACCATATGCTTATGGTAAGTCTGAAAGCAGGACCCGAGCACTACAGCTCTCTTCCCACTTGTGGCTCCCAGCAATTGGCATTCAGAGGCATCTGTGGAGGGAGACCTTCCTTACGATGCCTGGAAGGAAGTGGCCATGAAGAAACTAGCTGCGGGTCCACGAGGCTCGCCACCCCTTCTGAGAACCACAGGGGTTCTGGAAGTCGAACCCGTTCCGGAAGTCCGTTTGACTTCCAAAAGGTCAAAAACCAAAGCACGGCTTCTGATTGGCTGCAGGAAGCTATATTGGAATCCCACTGTTGGCCCTAATTTTCCGATGTGGCCAACCCTAGAATATATGTACATAGCACCTTTGGTTGGTTGAACAATACAAGGATCAAAATATATGAAATCCCAGGTGACTCTGGAAACAATTAAATCACTTAGAAAAATGGAATATGTTGATTAATAAAAACAAATTTGATCCATTTTCACATGCTAAACTTACTTTGTGGGAAAACCCCATACTAAGAATTGCAAAAAAGATGGTGATATGGAAAAATTGGATGGAAGCAGGTGTATCGGCATTGGACCAACTGATAGATGGGGATGATGAATTTTATACTTTTGCTATTTTAAAACAAAAATATCATCTATCAGATGCAGCCCAATGGCAATATCTTCAATTACAACATGTACAAGTGTGTTTGGGCTACCAGCTCTTTCAGCTTCCGAGATACCTGAGATATTGGAGCAATTGGACAACTCAATTCAAAAATAAAAAGCCAGCAAATTACTTTCTATAGATATCTATTAACAATACACAAATTCAATATGCAGACTGCAAGAGATGATTGGAATAAAGAATTGGAACTTTCATTATTACCCAGACAGTGGGAAAATGTATTAGCTTCAATACCTAAGGTGTCATTAGATTTAAAATTAAGACTAATACAACAGAAAATAATATTCAGAGTTTATTGGACTCCTTTACGGTTGTATAAAAAAGGGTTAGCTAAGAAAGCTCAGTGTTGGAGATGTGGTTTAGACAATGCCTCTCTGAAACACATACTTGTACAGTGTTCTTTACTTAACAGGTTTTGGGAGAAAGTGCTGGACTGTGTAACTATGACTGTGCAGAAAAAGTTAAACCTTTCAGCAGAGAATATTTTATTGAACTATATACCTGCAGTATGGAAATTATCAACAGGAAAACGGAAACGGATTTCCCGTGCCCTAATGGTGGCCAAGAGATTGAAATTGAGGAATTGGAAAAATAAAGATATGATACCATTCAATCAATGGATTGACGATATGACATCACTGGCAATTTATGAATGGACTGATTACAGGCGCAGACTCTGTATAGATAAATACTATAACATTTGGAATGAGTTTATACTAAATGTAGTAGGCTATTAACATTTACATAAGCACTAGGACAATAACACTATACCAATTTATACATGAATGTATGGGAATATCGTATATTGCTTTTTGTGTGTGCATAATTTCACTTTTATACATATCGTTTTTGTTGTTTTCGTTCCTTCTAACCTTCCCTTCTTTTTTTCTGCATCACTTTATTTCTTTTAACTGAAATCACCTTAATAAAATATAAATATTTTTAAAAAAAGATTTGATCCCTGGTACAAACACACAAAGGTGCACAATAGCACAAGTTAATACAGAAATTCCTGAGAAATATATCATGGTTTCCATTCAATCTCTTCTCTCATGCTCTCTCATCTAAACAGCCCCCCCCACAAGCTTTCCCTTTGGAGTGTTTCTAATTCTCAAATCAGATTTCCAATTAAATAAAAACAAAAAACGAAGATGGAACCCCAACCTCCCTGCCCTAAACAGATAACTGTATCTATATGCAATCCACAAGGGCCTCTTTGGTGAACCAAATGCAAATTGGCGTATCAATTCATGTTGTTACCCAGAAAAGGGAAAAGGGGCCTTTTCACAAGTAACAATCTTCTAATGCATGTTAAATCATCCCTTTACTTTTCTTTTTATCTCCAAGGCAGCTTTGTGTTCCCGTCTTGACTGACAGGGTGCTGGTTACATCGCCTGCAAAGAAAGAAATAAAATGCTGCCAGGCTTCTCTCCATACCCCAACTCACCCCCAGCTTCTCTAAAGCTTTCAGTCTGATCCAGATAGCTGAGCATCTTCATGACAAAATATGTCCAGCTGAATAGTGCTACTTGGTGGTGTTCTGCTTTGTGGGATAAAAAAACTTGTGCAGAGACTTGCTTTTTGAACTTGGTTCCCTTGAGCAAGGATGGGGGGAGAAATCTGATTCAGCTCGCATCTAAAATTTCACATTTTATCCTTTGAAATTTGCACTTTTCCAAATTCTGCAATGGAGCTCTCCACCCAAGTAATGCGTATAAAAGTGCACACGGCAGAGTAAAGTTTGTGTAGAAATGCATATATTGGTGAAAATAACACACACAGATTCAGTAGGGGAAACTGCTTTGCAAAAATGTGTATATTGGGAAAAATTGCACGTAACGTGTTCAGATGGAAAAAAAAACTTGCCCAAAACTGAATTTCATGACCAATGTAGAAATGTGAAGAACTGAACTTAAAATTGAGAAACAAGTAACTAAAACTGACATATTTGCCCATCCCTACCCTTGAGTCACCTAATGCTGTCTTTATCCCACTGTTATAAAAGATAAAAGGTAAAGGTACCCCTGCCCGTACAGGCCAGTCTTGCCAGACTCTAGGGTTGTGCGCTCATCTCACTCTATAGGCTGGGAGCCAGCACTGTCCGCAGACACTTCCGGGTCACGTGGCCAGCGTGACAAGCTGCATCTGGCGAGCCAGCGCAGCACACAGAACACCGTTTACCTTCCCGCTGGTAAGCGGTCCCTATTTATCTACTTGCACCCGGAGGTGCTTTCGAACTGCTAGGTTGGCAGGCACTGGGACCGAACGACGGGAGTGCACCCCGCCGCGGGGATTCGAACCGCCGACCATGCGATCGGCAAGTCCTAGGCGCTGAGGTTTTACCCACAGCGCCACCCGCGTCCCACTGTTATACAAACACTTTATTGCCATTCTCTGCTAATGGATTTTGGTGGGGAGAGATGCCTCAAGAATCCAGCCTTAAAGTTGGATTCGGCATTTGGCCCTTCTAACCCCAATGTATAGTTCACTTATGGAACTCACTGCAACATGGCGTTAGGAGAGCAGTTAACCCCAAATGGTTTTAAAAGGGTTCAGATAAGGGGTGGGGAAACCTGTTGCCCTCTAGGCATTGTTGGACTTTCCTATATCTACCCAAGACAACACAGCAAATGGCCAGAGAGCATTGTAGCTGGAGTCCAACATCTGGAGGGTCGCAGGTTCCCAATCTCTGGTTTTAGTGAATACATGGAGAGCAAAGTTCACTTTAATTCAGATATGGGGGACCTGTGGATGTTTTTCTTCTGTAACTCCCATAATCACTGACGATTGGCTATGCTGGCTGGGGCTGATGGGAGTTGTAGTCCAGTGTTATCTGGAGGGCCAGATGTTCCCCATCTCTCTCTTGTCATAACAGCTAAACACACAGCTGCTGGGCTCAGAGGCAAGTGCCCTGGCTCCCGCCTAACACACGCAGACAGAGGCTCTTACTTGTAAGTAAAGGTACCCCTGACCATTAGGTCCAGTCGCGGACGACTCTGGGGTTGCAAGCTCATCTCGCTCTATAGGCCGAGGGAGCCGGCATTTGTCCACAGACAGCTTCCGAGTCATGTGGCCAGCATGACTAAGCCGCTTCTGGTAAACCAAAACAGCGCACGGAAACACCGTTTACCTTCCCGCTGGAGCGGTACCTATTTATCTACTTGCACTTGACGCACTTTCGAACTGCTAGGTGGGCAGGAGCTGGGACCGAACAACAGGAGCTCACCCAATTGCAAGGATTTGAACTGCTGACCTTCCAATCGGCAAGCCCTAGGCTCAGTGGTTTAGACCACAGCGCCACCCGCATCTAAGTAAGAGATCTTTATTCAGGAAAGTAACGGTACAAGCTCAGCAGCAGATACAGGTTCCAGGAGTCACGATTCAGGATTTCAGGAGCAGGAAAAGGAGTTCCGAAACGGATGGGGGCAACACAGATATCCCAACAAGTTTTCCCATCCCTCCCACTAAGCTTTTAAAGATGAGGCATGGCATGCTCACTCGCGATACTCTCTTGCCTTGTGGGAATATGAGATTGCTCCATTGGGGTGGGTGGCTCTGCTCCCATCCACAAAGGCATTGCTAAGTTCTAGGTGACAAGACTGCACCTGTCTGTTCAGTTGCTGCCAACTTCTGTTCATACTCCCCCCACCTGGTTGATCAAATCCCGACATGCTGCTACTGTATACCAGGTACAAATGACAGGGCAGGGATACCACCCTGCAATGGCTAGCTTGGGAGCTTCCTGCAGGAATCTACTTGGCTGCTGTTGTGAAGGCAGAATGCTGAGATAGGTGGACCAAGGATCTGGTGCAACCTAGCAATTCTTTCACCACCCCTGCCCATTGAGTCTCCACTGACTCCTCGGCTAAGGCAAGAGGTTTTCAGCACAGAGTGGGAAGCAAAAACCTCCTTCTTCCAAAAGCGGCCTGAGCTCTTGCTGTTTGTGATACCCTCCAACTGTTTGTGTGCTCTGCATGATTCTGTTTTAATCACTTATTCATCTGCAGGCTCTGCTGTTCCCTGAGCATCCCAGGCTACAGCTTTTAAACCCTCGCTACGCTGCGGGCATGCTGAAAGGAGCAAACACTTTCCCCAGGACCCAGGAATCTAACAAAATATGACAGGCTCCAGTTTCCTTTCTTCTTCTTCTTCTCATCATCTCCCTCCCTCCTGCCTCTCCCTTCTCCCCCCTCACACTTCAAAAGGCATTACTCTGCAACAGATGCTGAGGACAAATGGCAGATCTGGCAAGAAGGAAAAAAAGATATAACTTTTTCTTTCACCCGTTCCCCAAGCTGAGGATTGTGAAAAAGGATCCAGTATAAACTGTTCAATGCTGATGTGCCCCTTCTATGCTCTTGCCAGTGTCCCTTTTCAGATGGGGTAGGGGGGTGGAGGGTAGAGAATGAGATTTAAAGAAAGTGAAGGGATGAAACCACCACCAACTTTCTCCAGGAAACATAGGATTGGGAAACCCCCTCCTTCATAAAAGAGACTTGTTTCCCAGAGCCAGGGTTTTTGCCCCATCATATGCCATGAAATATGCCCTGGGATTCCATTTACCCATTATCCAGTCCATACAGCTGGTGCATTCGAAACCCAAACTGGTCCTTCCTCAGCCATAGAGGACAGGCAGGAGCTAAGTAATTTGCACACCTGGTTCCCTGTAGTGACTGTAGGGCAGTCCCTGGGGGTGGGGAGAGCATGTGAAGGATGGTAGGGATTGCCGCCTTTGACACAGGCATATCCCACCATTGTACCAAGGTTCCTGCAAGGCCAAGAATAAGGGACTCGGGAGGTGAGATTCAGGAACAGGAACTGGAGCACCCAAAGGAAGCTGTTAGAACAAGTGCAGAAAGGAAGAGGCAAGCCCCAACCACCCCTCCAGTCTGGTGTTTTACCACAGGTGTATTCTGCAACATATTATTGCCACAATAATAATGCATTAGCACCAGATTTATTCTGTTGGAGGAAGTAAACCTCTGGATACCAGGTGCAGAGATCGCTGTTGTGCTCAGGTCCTGCTTGCTGGCTTCCCATAGGCATCTGGCTGGCCACTGCGAGAAGAGGATGCTGAATTTGAAAGGCTCCAGCAGCCTCTTCTTATGTTCCGATGTACTTCCTTGGAAGCTTTCAAGAGGGGCCTGAATGATCATATTGTGAAGGTCCCCCATATACAAGATATCCTGCTTTCCAGGGTCCCTTCTGGCCTTGCAGTTTGTCCCTGTTGCTGCTTCTATTTGACTTCAAATAAACTTTTGCTTAGAAGAGATGTGCAGCACCCCAGCCGGAGGAGATTTTGAGCATTTCTGATATTCTGCTCACAAGGGCATAGTTCCACTGGGATCCCACCAAACAGTAATGCCAAATTCTCTGAAAGAAGAGGAGGAAAGCAGCCACTACAAGCGTCTCTTGGGGTGTTCTCGCTGTTTCCCTTGGATGCACAGACTGGCCACAGGGAAAGATGCTACAATGACTCGTGACCTAAGGGCACCACTGCGCTGACCCTGCGAGGAGCCTATTGTCACAAAGACCAACCGAACCAGGCTGCCACATGTACGTGTAACTGTAAAGGCACGTCGTGAATTAAGTAATCTAATAAACACTGTAATAATAAAGTATTTATTGCGCATAATGAAGTGTTAGTGATTAGAAAGGTTGGGCACACTGCTGCGGTTTCTCCTGAACCCTTGCCAGTATTACTCAAAGCTGATTCTGGAGGCAGCAGTAGCTTTGGAGGAAAGGTTCCCGGCTTTGTTTTGATTGGCGTGTCGAGTGTTTGAGCTGCCATTCGGGTTTCTTTATATCACCCTGTAATTGACTGCTCTCTCGAGGTGCAAAGAAACAGAAATACAAAAGGCGGAAGGAAAAGCTCAGGCTCCTTCTGCGAAATCCGCCGCTGAAACTGTGCTGCTTTCCCGAGAGCCGATTTCGGTAGCAAAAGGGCACTTTGTAAACAGCTGGTGAAAATAGACTGGAACTCAAAGTCGGCTTGTGTTAAACTCCACAAGAAAGCCCGATTTACCCTCCTGCACCTCCTTTGTCATGTCAATCAAACCACTTTCCTGCTCCCTCGGGAGGCGCTCACAAAAAGGATAGAGAAACAGGGGGGAAAGTAAACAAAAATAAAAAGGCCTTTACTGCACTAGAGAGCTTGTGGAAGAGAACAGGCCAGGCAGCTGGTCCTGGCCAGCCATTCTTGGGCCAAGGCAGGGCAAGTGAGGGCATCGCTTAACCATCTCGAGTTGGTGCCCTCTCTTGCCCTTGCTTGTCAGACTCCACTGAGCTCTCCGGTCAGCACTCATCAGTTTGGACTCCCTCTCCCCACCCGCCAGAACACAGGCTGCAACATGCAGATGTTGGGAAGGAGATGCAGAAAAACTCAAGTATGTAAGGGAATGAACCTAAGTTAGTCATGTCCATTAACTTCAATGGGTCTATTCTGCGCAGGCCTATGGTTGAATGGCACCCGATGTTCTCCTTGGACCCCTGCCCACACATACCTGTTCTAGAACAAGTGTCTGTGCAGTATACTGCAGGCAGGCAGCATTTGCTAAAACTGTTTTGCATGTTAGAAGGAGGCAGATTACATTTCAGTGGGGCTCACCCAGAGGAGCTGATGCTCCTGTGATTAGAAGGGGGAACCCACAGCTCTGTACACAGCTACATCATGTGATGAACCACCAGGGCTATAGGCTAGAAATCTCATTGGCTTGGCCCAGGGGGTTGTCTGCCACCCAGGCTGGCCATTGGCTTTCCTCAACAGGAAGGGCTATACAAGCTTCCAGTTCAGTGTAGGACTTTGCCTGGGCTAGGATAGTATTTCCTGGGTCTGGCTTGGCCTGGCTATTAGTTTGTTTCCTAGCCTGGTCGCCAGCTGAACCTCCCACAGATCCTCAGTCCTGACACTGGCAGATTGTACTTGCTGGTTATCAGCCTAATATTGCCAAGTTCTCCAATCAATCCTTAAAAAGGATTTGGTCCCATACATTTTATCACCCATGCAACTCTCCTTTGAAGCCTGTCGAATTTATCAACTTCCCGACACCCAAAACAGAACATTTAGAAGGCATCAGGTTGGGGAAGGCTGGCTAATAACTTTAAGAAGGGTGTTCATATGCCCCTCTTCCCAACAACAGTAGCTCTGGCTGGGAATTCAGACAGCAGGAATGAAATTTTCACTGTTCCTAGAAGCACCTGGATTCGTACCTGACAGACAGATCGTTTTAAGAAAACAACCCCTTTCCCCTCCTAAAGCGGGTTTGGCTCCTTGGTGTAAATGCCGTCGCCAAATGCTCAGGCCTCTTCATCTCCTTCAGTACCATCTCACATCACAAGCGCTGATGAAGGGGCTGCTGCCGTGCTTTTCATCTGCTCCACTGTGGCGCTGTCTCCAGGGATGGAGAGTGCACATCAAAGCTGTCTCCTCTTGCGGAGCCATGATCTCAACATCTGGCACAGAGTTTCCATCATCACAGCAATGGGTGACAAAGGGACACCGGTCTCTGGGTGCGAGAGAGGCCAACCAGTACAGGGTGTCCTTCTTGTTAATGCCCCCCCCACATCGCCACAAGGCACTGAACTGGCTAGAAAGAGCACATGGTGGGACTCACTTCTTCCCTGGAAAATTGTCAAAAGCATGGGGAAAGCCATGCCAGCAGAAGATCAGCCAGACTTGTTTCTCTCTCTCTCTCTGAGAAATATACATTTCTAGTGTATATTTCTTTCATAATGTTTATTAATGTTGTTCATAGCTTTGGGGAGCCTTTGGGCCCCAAAGCAGTAGATAAATAAACTATACCATATCGTTAAAAGAACAACTACCCTTTGAGGAATTGCTGCAATATCTGCACTTCCAGCCAGAGGGAAGCAAAACACAGGCACAGAAGTGATGCTAGCTGAACTTCCTTTCTCCTGAGCTGGCAAGGGCAGTTTGACTTTGCAGCCCTTTATTCTTTTGAAATTCCAAGGGTGTCTCCATTTTGCTAAACCTCTCCCCTATTTGCTTATTTATTTATTGGCTTGTATACCACACAGTGGGAAAAAGCATGTTGGCAGTGAATGTAACACATCCGTAAAGCACCATTTTTTAAAAAAAAGCTTTATCAACATCTGGACAGTGATATACAATAACTGATGCCAGAGCTGCACATCAGAAAAGGGTTGTGTAAACAGAACGGTCTTGGGCAGGTGTTGAAAACTAAGCACTGCTGGTGCTTGCTTGATAGTAGCAGGCATGAAGATTCACAACTGAGGCACAGATGCACTACATATCCTCTGTATCTTAAAGAAGCCAGGCATATATCATGGGCCACCCTTAGCTGTGCCATTCCAGTCAAATGTAATAATTGGGCTGGTATATGTGAGGCAAGGCTAAGCTATCAGGAGCAAAGGAAAAGATCTACTGCTTAGTCTTAGCATGGATGAATGAATCAACATTTGCAGAACACCTCAGAGCCAGAAAGCACAAAATACCAGAGACAACCAGCCAATCTTACTGTAATAATTATAGGGGTTGCTCGTGCGTAAGTTCCCGTCACTCCTGGCTAGGTTGCCTGGTTAAACCTTTTCTGTCTGGACAGCCCTTCACTTCGTGGCTGTTTCAGTCGCTAGCAGAATCCGTCAGTGGGCGTTTCTTAAACCTTTTCCAGCATAAAAGCTGTTTGACGCCAAGTCTCCTCCTACTCTCCCTGCGCGGAAGTCTTCTGCGCAGGGAGGGTGTGGGTAGCGGAGGACCCGTGCTCTCCTCGCTGGTCTCCGGTGAGGAGTCCTGGAGCCCCCTCGCCGATTCCCCCATCTGCCCCCCTTCATCCCTGGTGTTACGCTGATTTCCTTCCCCAGCTGATGAGCTGCCTCTCTCCCTGCTGGGCCCTTCTCCAGCATCGCTTGGGAGCCTTGCCTCCGCCTCTGGCTCCGATGTCAGTTCCCTGACACTTACCTAGGGCAGCAAGAACTCTGAAGCCTTTAGGACTCACCACATGACACATGGCCCAAGCCGATCAGAGCATGAAGTAACAACATCATTCTGAAGGAAGACCACAAAAACTACCAGAAAAGGAAAGATGCGAGGGCAGCAAATGAAGGGATGCAGAAAGGAAACCTCAAAAGGTGCTCAGGTGATGGGTATGTGATGGGAAGATGTTTTTGGTCATTTGTTGGAAAAGTCAAATTACTGTAGTTACTCCAATGAAGAGAGACAATGGACTCAAAACACATTTGGGCCAATGAACCACAATCTGTGCACCTTTGAGGTCATGACACAAAAGATACTGGACCACTAAGACTTTCTTTAGCCTCCCACAAAATTCTTATATTTATCATTCATTGCACACTTCCAGTATAAAAGAAAAGATCCCATTCTTGTTTATTTTAATTTACAAAGGCTTCCCGTTTTGCTCATCTGGAAGAGATTGTTACCTGCTGTGAGAGCCTATTTACAGCGAGCCTCCCCCCCCCCCACCCCAACCTCACTCTAATATGCAGTCTCCTGCCGCACTTCATCTGAAAGGTTAGCAGACAAGTGGCAGCCCCCCGCCCAGCAACCCTGGCAAACTTACCGCCTTTGCGCTGAACTCAGGAAGCATGATGCATGTTGCGCCAACCCAGAGGGGACATAGCAGCTTGTTGACCACCCCGTGGACATGATGCAAAGGCAGAACATGGAGAATAATGTCATCCTTTGTCCACTCCCATTTGTTAACCAGCCCAGTTATCTGCAAGGATATTTAAACAAACAAACAAACAAACAAGCAACATTAGGAGTAGAGGCTACAAACAAGCATGCACACCATTTGTTTCAAAAGTGAGGGCCCCAGAGCTTAAACTACTGTCAGTGGGAGACATAAAAAGAACAGAAGAGGAAACCTTTAAGGTGTGTTAGAAATACAGTTTATCCAGCCCGACACGTTTAGAGGGCATCTGCAGCATCTCCTTCTGCATCAACCTGCTACCTCTTTGCCATCCCCTCTGAACAGAGCTTTAGACTAAAAATTGGCAGGATTTAAACTGCAGCCGGTGTGTCTGCTTTGAGCCCTGTTCTACAGCAGGTCTTTGTTCAGGTCCTTGTCAGGAGGGCCAACAGCCCATTTTACCATGAGCCACAGAAAAAGCAGGCATGTGAATGGTGCTTTTTTAAAAAAACCTGTTAGAATTTAGTTGCTATTGTTTTTGTTATTATTATTACTGCAGAGAAAGAAAAGAAATGCGTTTCTTAACCATGATCTGTAAACAACAGAAACCCACAGACTGTGGAGCATGTATGAGCATGTATGGAGAAAAGAGCTCCAAGCTCTTTGATTTGCTCAAGCCACAAGGTCTGTGTGTTTCTGCCTCCCTAAAGGTACATTTTTATCCACTGCAGGCAGAGACCTTGTACTGCCATGGCAGTCAGCAAGACTCCAAACTTCTAACTTTTTTTTTTTTGCTCAGGGAGCTAATGGATTTTTTCTGCCTTGGGGATACACAGCTAAAGAGTAAACAGACTTTTCAAGATGCCTTTGTAGTCATCTTGTAGCAATGCAAATGGGTAAGAGAAGAAACTGCTCCAAGCTGGAACTGTCACCTCTGCTCTGCAGGGGAAGAAATACAGCAGAGTACTGGGAAGTGTCTTAAAAATTAGAGTGATGGTGTTTAAACCTGTCCTAGAGCTCTGCTCCTGATCCTAAATACAGGGAGGATGGCTGTGATTAAAAGAGGTTTTTTGTTTTTTTTACAATCAAACAGTATATAAATTGTATGAAGCAAATAAATAACCAAACAAACATCACCCCACACAGACTCAAAGGCACCCCTCTCTTTTCCTACTACTACTACTGTTTTCCTACTACTACTGAAGTTGAGCCCATCCACAACAAAACAGGTTCCTAAGTGAGCTGCTACTGAGTAGGTGAAGAATAAACTCACCACAGCTTGGACATTCTGGTGGGTGCTGAGGACACCTTTGGGTCTCCCAGTTGTGCCACTTGTGTAAATGATCATGGCACCCCTGCCCTTCCATTCTGAAATGGGGCAACTGGCTTCGAAAAGGGATGCATCCACTTTTGAACCACATCTCCCAGATTTGGGAAGCGAAAGCACAGGAACCCCAAGTTTCCCAGCACTAGGGGTGATCTTCTCCACATACTCTTCCTCTACAACAATGAGAGCACTTTGAGAGTCCTTGATGAAATACTCCAATTCCGACACAGGGTGTTTTCTGTAAAGAGGAACAGCTGTGCCTCCACTCATCCATGAAGCCCACTGTGCAGTTACATAGGAAGCATCATTGGGGCACAAAAATGAAATCCGTTCACCCTTCAAGTCTCCGCCTGAGTTCCCGAGAGTCTTGCAGATCATCTGGGATAGATGGAGGCTTCGAGCATACAGATCTTTGTAGGAGTGCTCTCCATGTTGGTCAACAATGGCAATTTTATCTCCAAAGGCCAGTGCTCTGGTGAAGACAGGAGCAACCTGTCCATGACAAGGTGTCCTGCTAGTATGCAGGCCTTTAAAGATGCAGTGAGCAGCTCTTAGGCCAGAGGAGTCCCAGCCTCGAAGGCATAAGACACGAACTAGACATTTGGCCAGATAGCTCCTATTTGAAATTAACAAGGAGCCTAACATTTCTCTGGTGCCTCCTGGCTAGCTGTGGTGCTGGAGAAAGAAACAAAAAAACTCAGTCAATATGCAGAGCGTGACCAAAAGATCAGCTCAAAGACCATAGGAAGGGAGAAAGCTGCTGCGCTTCAGTCCTGCCTGTGGGCTTCCATTGGATATCCAGTTGGACACTGTGAAAGCAGGGTGCTGGAATAGATGGGCCACTGGCCTGATCCAGCAGACTCTTCTTATATTTTTAAGACACACAAGAAGGGCAATGGTATCACCCTGCAAGACATGCTTCCTTTCAGATCAAAGACCGCCAATGGCAACTTTATTGTAAAGAAAAAACATGCAGCATTCTGCAGGACTGAATAATAATTTCTCATCACAGAAGTGCTGCCAGGAAAATATCATGCACCCCAGTGCTCTGGTCTCAAAGCTGACTTGGCCGTTCAGGATACAAGATGGGCCATGAAGTATACTGTGTTTTCAGTTTAACAGACATCGGTCCAACAAGAGAAGTGACCTTGCCGGATCCAGAAATGTGTTTAATCTTGAACATTAAGAATGGGAAACCCTGGGGTAGGAGGTAATTAGGGCTCAGCAGTACTGTTGTAGTTCTGTAACCCAGCAGAAAATGTTGGCACAAAACAGCAAAAATGTGAGGTGTTTTCATGAATCCAGGTGATTCACTTAAGGAACACTAAGCCAGAGGATGTAATAAAGCTGAAAGTTTAAGCAGGAACCGAGTGGAAGGGAAGAGTGTAAGATGGCATGTTGGGGGGCTGCTCACAGGAACTGAAGCAATTTATAGGACTGTTTATAGCCACCTCACAATTAAATTTAAAAGCTCAAAGGGAAAAACTTTCCAAGATTCAATGCATTAATGAACAAGGTGTGGTTTTAATATGAAGCCCAGCTTGGCCAAGTTGTATGCATTGATGTGCACAACCGATGACAACAAGCTTAATTCTCTCCACCCGCCTTAATTTCCTCTAAGCTAAAAGCCATAAACTTTTTGGCTTCAACATTCTCCACTTTTTAAACCACTCTGAAAGAAGCTGCTGATTTTGCGTGGGAAGGGCTTTTAACCAAATGTGTCACGCACCAGTGGAGAAGGAAAAACACATCCGATGACAGCAGCTTACCCTCTTTCCATTTCACACATTCCTTCCTAGCCTAGCAACACAACTTTTAAAAGGTGTGTGTGTGTGTGTGTGTGTGTGTGTACCTAACAATGAGGTTCGTTAGCAAAAACCAAATCACCTTCTTTATAATTTTAAAGCCCCCTCCCCAAGACAAATTCTTGCTGCTGAAGGTGTGTGAGAGAGCTGTTAACAAGGGTGCTAATTGGGAATGTGTATATCTTATATATCTTCCACATGCATGGAACCAATCCATAATAGGACACATATTCTCAGCAGAAAATACTGTGGTGCGAGTTGCTACACTGGAATGGAATTATCAAAGGATTTTCCGTGTATATACACAAACAGCACAAATTCAGGAAATCTGGCATATATTAGATACCCTTTTATACATATTAACCTTCTGTTCTTACAACCAAAGTTGTGAAATGATGCTAATTTCCCACCCTTTTAATAAGAATAGAACAGCCCTACTAGATCAGATGTAGACCCATCTAGTTCTCACAGTGGTGAATAAAATGCCCCAATGGGAAGACCACAAGCAGAAAATGAGTACAACTGCATCCTCCCATCATATGAGCAACTGGTACTCAGAGGCATACCACCTCTCATACTGGACAATACATAGTCATCATGGTTAGTAGCCATTAACAGCCTTATCTTCCATGAATGTGCAGCAAATTCCATAATTTGACTGTGCGACAAAATCTTTCTTTTTGTCTGTCACGAATCTCCCAACATTCAGCTTCACTGGATGACCCTTTTGCGTTCTAGTAATATGAGAAGGGACATAGCCTTCTCTGTGTCCACTTCATGCATAATTGTACATACCTCTGTCATGTGCCCCCATATTCACCTTCTGTCTAAACTATTAAAAAAAACCCAAATTTTGTAACCTTTTCTTAAACACAAGTTGTTCAAGCTATTGGTTGCCCCTTTCTGCATCTTTTCCAGCTCTATACTTCTTTTCAGACCAGAACTGCATTCCAAGTGTGGTCGCAACTTTATCTCTCCCAAAGTCTCATCTAGTTCAGCATCTTGCTCTCACGATGTCCAGTTGTTTCTGGGGCAAGCAGGACTTGAGGGAAACATGACCCTCTCAACTTGTGATTGCCAGCAACTGGTATTCTGAGGCATTACTGTTTTCAACACCAGAGATAGAACATAGCTATCATAGCTAGCAGTCATTGATAGCCCTATTCTCTATCAATTTCCCAAACTAATTACATCTGGACAATCCTTGTGACAATATTTGCCTTGCTTTCTTTTAAAGCCATTCCTGTTAGTGGTTGTCACTACTTTTTGTGAGAGTTTGCCAACACTGGAGTCTCAAAAGCTTCAGGAGAAGGGAATTCAGTTTCCTCTTCCAGTTTACCCATGCTGTGCTTTAAATGTACATCCTACTTTATAAGCAACTGACAAGACCTGCATTGTAAACAGTGATCATGATGCTGTAAAAAACCAATGTGACCCCCAAGGTGGGTCAACAGGCAAGAAAGTGGGGGTACCCCTACTGTTGGTCTACCATTTTCATAGAAACAAAAGCACAGCACAAAATAGAGCACTGCCATCAGAATAGATATCCCCCATAGAGACAAATAAATAGTTCCTACACAGAGGGATACGCTGTGGGTTGCCACTTCCCTCTACCACAACCAAGTGTGGTGTAGCACTTAAGAGGGTTGGAAAAGGACCTGGGAGAACAGGGTCCAAATTCCAGCTTGGCCATGAAGCTCATTTTGAGTGACCTCAAGCCAGTCACTGTCTCTAAACCTAGCCTGCTTCATAGGGTTGTTGTGAGGATTATTTGGGAGGGGGGCATGCATGCCATCTTGAGCTCCTTGGAGGAAAATGTGGTTTAGAAAATAAATAAGCCCTGTTCCTGTGCAATTTAACTGCAAGGGTTAAGCAAATGAAGCTTTTTCTGGAACGGAGAGAGAAATGGTGGAGGGAGGGGGACTTTAGCTGCAAAATGTGGTCAGGCAAGAGCAGTGAGGGTGCTGGAAGATGGAGGGTGAGGGAAAGGAAAACCCTACTACCTCCCCGCCCCCACGCCCTATGTGTAGAGGGGGCAATATTTATTTATTCCATTTATATTCCCGAAGGAGCCCAGGGCGTCAACTAACTAATGCACCTGAAGAGACAGGAGGTGCATCGCCTGGGCTGCGGAGGGGGCGGGTGGAGATTAAAGGTCCCCGCTTCACTTTCAGGGACCTGAGAGGGGAAGGAAAGAGCAGTGACACCTTCCTCTCACCCCGCCGCCGGTCATTATTTCCACTCCCCAGCAGAGAAGAAGACGGAAGCCCCTTCCCTTCTCCGGGTCAGCCTCCGCTTCCACCCCCGCTTTTGTTCTCACCCGCAAGTCAAGACGGACGGACGGCGTTCCTGCTTCGGCCTGCCGGTCCGTCCGCCAACGACGTCCCCCGTGCAAACGAGGAGCGGCCACGCGAGTTCCGGGGCATGCGTGGGACGGCGAAGGTGTAGGGGAAGGAGGGCAGCTCACGCGCGCCTGACGTCGCTGCAGAGCCCTGACGTCGTCACTGGATGTTAGGGTGGAGGAGTCCGATCTGATGTCATTGGCGTCCTATGATGACGTTTTTTGGCAACATTGCCTATGACGTCTTCATGTGTTGAGCCAAGAGGATCAGGATCACAATTCGGGGGTTCTCAACATGCAGAATTTGGTTTGCAGAGAAAACAAACGCACCATAATAAGCATAATAATCACTCAGCACCCTCATCGTTGTCTCATCATATATTGTTTTGCTGCCCTCCTCCCCACGTCATCAAACCTGTGCCTAATATTAGAATTTACTTGCCATCTTTTACAGTTTGGTTGGCACAGCTATACTATAGACTTGTAAGTGCTGACCATGTGACCTGTGCACAGTCATCTATTTGAAGGGCAGCTGGGTTTGAAGGACTTTCTGGTCCAAGTCTCATTTAAATATAAATATGTGACCTTGAAGCTGTCCATCCACAGTTAGCACCTGGCAGGGGAATGAGCAGGCACACAGATCACCTGGTTGTAGTTGTGCCCATTGGAGTGATATATGTTATATTTCTATTTAAATTATAGCAATTATTACTAAATTTGCATATATGCAAAGTTTATGCATCTTTGTACACTATTTTTAAGTGACGTTTCTTTGTTCCAAGGATACATAAGAGATCAGCCCCATTGCCTCTCTGACATGACACTTGAAACACAGAATTTGCTTATGTTCATTAAAATCTGAATTTTATGTAAACTCTGGATTGTGGTCCTGTTTTTGTTTCTGGAGTGAGATGATAATAGCGGGATAATAAAAAATCTATGAATTAATGATGTCTAAATATTAAGGGAGTCTTTCAGAGTTGTGGAACTATTTGTATTCTGAACTTTTTATTTTAAAAATACATTCAAGCTGAATGAAGATTTTCCCTTTTGTGCTTTGTTATACGTAGTTTACTCTTTCAAATATTGATAGGTACAAATTTTTAATGCATCAGCAATGCGTGAGGTGCCACAGCAATATATATTTTTAGCCTTGCTCCTAGGTCTTCACAAATTTAGAGGTAGGTGTGTTTTATTCATTTATTTAAATATTACTATTTTAGTAACCCACC